CTGTGACGGGTCACTAACCCTCCAGACCTGTCTCTGCTCCCCGTGGGCGCCCTCCCACTCCCCATCCTGCCTCCCCAGCAGGTCCTGATGCTGCCTTGGGCGGGATGACGTTTGTTTCATGTAGAAGTGCAGTGGTGAAGCCTTCCTGGGTCTGGCTGTGCCCGCCGCCCCCTACCCCAGATCCCCAGCCTGGGGCGGCCTTGGAGCACTCCTGGGCTGTGCCGCCTGGCAGGTGCAGGGCGACCCCAGACCCAGCGCGCCAGCGCCGTCTTCCTCCGCCCCCGTTTTAGCCGTCCTCCTTGGTTTCAGTCTTGCATTCCGCAGCCGCGGCTCCAGGTCCTGGCCGCGGTGGCCCGGGCAGGCCCGTGCTCCCCTCTCTGGTCCGGAGCAGCCGCCGAGCTTCCGTATTTGCCCTTCCTCCTGTCTTACACCCCCTCCCCTTCCCCAGAGAACGCCCTGGAGGCTGCAGGCTGGGTGAGCCCTGCCTCCTCCCGGATCCCACGGCCTTCATTCAGGCACGCAGTAAAGGCTGCTGAATTAATGAAAGAATGATGAGCCAGGAAAGGAATCATCACCCACTCTCCGTGGGCGGGGCCTGCATCACAGGGGAGCCGGGAGCAGCGTCCACAAGGCTGCTTTCCTGAAACGTAGAGCCACACACAAGAGATGTGCAGTGACCACTGGACTCAGAGCCCGCACACGCCTCCATCGTGACAAGTCCTGGAAGCCTCGCAATACTCACACCAGGGCACGGTCTGCATCCGTAGACTCTCAGGTTTACACAGTTTTGGAGCCTGTCCTTAGGGAGGCGTGATGGCTAAGATGCAGATTGGGACGCCCACGTCCTATATGGGAGTGCCTCGGCTCCACTCCCAGCTTCACTCCCGGTTCCAGCTTCCTGCTAATGCAGGCCATGGGAGGCAACAGGTGTGATGATGGCTCAAGTCCTTGGGCCCCTGCCACGGGTGTGGGAGAACCAGAGGGAGCTGCTGGCTCCCGCCTTCAGCCTGGCCCAGCCCTGGCTGTTGCATGCAATTGAGGGAGTAAACCAGAAGATGGAAGATCTCATGTCTCTCTCTCTCTTTAAAATAAAAATTGATTATTTAAAATCTAAAAAAAAAAAAAGTGGAAACTGTTATGAATAAAGCTAGGAATGAAAATTAATATATCTAGGTTGATAAAAGAAAGCACAGCCGTTGGCACCTGCTCAAAAGGGGGCCGGCGCTGTAGCGCAGTGGGTTAAAGCCCCTGTCTGCAGGGCGGCATCCCATATGGGCGCCGGTTCTAGTCTCGGTTGCTCCTCTTCCAGTCCAGCTCTCTGCTGTGGCCCGGGAAGGCAGTGGAAGATGGCCCAGGTGCTTGGGCCCTGCACCCACATGGGAGACCAGGAGGAAGCACCTGGCTCCTGGCTTCAGATTGGCACAGCCTTGACCGTTGCAGCCATTTGGGGAGTGAACCAGCAGATGAAAGACCTCTCCCTCTCCCTCTCTGTAACTCTGCTTTTCAAATAAATAAAATCAATCTTTAATTTAAAAAAAAGTGACAAATAACTATTACGAGAGCTAAATAAGGACCACTGCTTGCCACAAATGAGCTTCGTAACCCCGCCACTGGGCTGCTGTACTTCCACCTTCCTACTTGAAGGTGTACGGTTCCGCCCCCTCTTCCTGCGAAAATGTCTTTATGGTGTCATGTTATGTATGAATTCTGAAAGGCAGAAAGAGCACAGGAACACGGAGTTCCCAGCCCCTGTGTCACTCCCCAAGGGCGTGGGTGCCCCAGGGGTCGCAGCCTCGACAGCCGGGGGCATCCCTGGGGCAAGGGCTGGAGGCCGGGGCGGGGCGTGGAGCCCATGTCCTCCTGGGGTCTTCGCCTCCCGCCACCCCCAACATTCTTTTCTGTTTTCTGTGTGTTTCCACCTTGCTCTGGTGTGGCTGACTGAATTTCTCTCTTACTGAGGGTTTATACACCTGCCGCAGGACTCCAGGTCCCATCAGCACCTGGGCTTTCGGACCAGTGCGGGTTGTCGCTCGGCTGTGCCTCCGCTCAGATCATTGCTACAGAAGCCGATGGCACTCATTAACCAGGGCCCTGGAAGGAGCCAGGCAGGTGAGGGGCGCTGAAGCTTAAGAACCTGAGCTTGGAGTTGAACTTGAACTTTGGACCCAGCAGAGTTAGGTAGCCCAGAAGAGGGAAGGCTGGAATTTGAAGTTACAAGTTCAGCCATTTATGGTAAAAGGGGATAATGCGTCGTGTGTCATTTATGATAGACAGCAAAAGTCGTAAACCCGAGGTCGCTCAGGAAGGCCCGGCACCCCGTGAATGGCAAGAAGCCAGCGGCTGTTCAGGGAGGCTTCCAAAATTCCTGTGGAAAAGTGGAATTAAAGGGTACGTATATTTTGATGCAAAAAGAAATGTTTGCAATCTTCCATAGGCGGCAGCTTCAGAAAGTGTGTGGGAAATGCATACTATGAAAAAACCAGGCATGGATTTAAAACAAAACCTTTTGTACAAGTGCTGGTGGTGTGTGGCTCTGGTCACAGCCCAACAGATGAGGAAGGGGGACAGTGGCGTGCGCCGAGTGCCCCAAGGATGTGGGTGGGGAGGCCCCAGGGTTGGTTTGGGTTTGTGGAACAAGAACGGATTGAAGGGGTGGCAGATTAAGCAGCTGCTAATGCTGGCGTACCACCCGAGCGCTGGTTCGAGTCCCGCCCGCTCCTGCCCCTGGGAAGGCAGCAGAAGATGGCCCCAGTGGCTCCAGCCCCTGCCACCCCTGTGGGAGACCCTGCTGATGGGGCTCCTGTCTCCTCCTGGCTTTGGCCGGGCCCAGCCCTGGTTCTTGTGGCCTTCTGGGGAGTGGACCAGCTCCTGGAAGATCTCTCTCTGACATTCTGCCTTTCGAATCTTTATATAGAGAGAAAAAGGATAGGTTGGGGTAGTGACGGGCACCTTCACCTGTGACAGGTGACACGCAGCCAGGAACGTGGTCCCAAGAAGTGGTCTCATACCGCCCCCGGCTGGGTGGTGGGCACTGGCGGCCTGCTGTGGGATGAGTGCTTGTTTTCTAATGGAGGGGCCTGGTCCCCAGGGGACTGACACAAGGGGTCTGAATCCCAGGTGAGCAGCCCCTCTACCTCATCAGCCCCTCCCTTGTTCTCTGGGCGGGCAACAGGACCACTTCTCTCTGCAGCACCTCCCCATCAAACTTGTATCCCCCACTAAACGAGAAAAAACAAGCAATCAAGGGGGAGATGGAAGACCCCCTCTGGAGGCAGGGGGCTGGGTGCAGAAAGCCGCCCCCCCAAGGAGAGGTGGGGTGGGTGTGTGTGGAAAACCTGGAGGGCCGAGCTGCCCTACAGACCGGGGAGGGAGGAGGGGATTCCCGGCCCGGCCGGTCTGCCTGGCTCCAGCTCAGCCGGCTGTTTCCTGCCCTTGCTGACCCCCCACCCCGGAGCAGGACCCAGTCCGGAGGACGAGGAAGGGCAGGGGTGTGGGGGGCACCTCTTGCGACAGGAAGATAAGTGCGCTGGGACAAGGGGTCACTGCAGCCTCGCTGTCCTCCCCGGGGGCTCAGGGTGCCTGGCAGCCCCCCAAGTATGCAGGCCTCCTCCCTCCGTCCCTGGGCGCCTCAGCTCCCCCTGACTGGTCCCCCTTAAGGACTTTTTAGGTCTAAGCCTTTCCTTCCAAGTCCGCGGGTGACCCACGCGCTAGGTGCCTCGGGGGAGAAGGGGGGCTGGCGGCAGGAGCACGGCTTTTCCGCACCCTCCCCCCAAGTGATGGATGGGGGGCGTTGGCAAAGAGGAAGGGCCCCTCCCAGCCAACCCGAGGGCCCCCAGGAGCCAGACAGGAAGCAGCCTCAGGAAAGACAGCCGGAGTAGACCCAGCTCCAGCCCCTGGGGTCACGGCTGCAGGCGGCGGGGGAGCCCCCGAAACGTGGCGGTGAGAGTGCGAGGGGGGACGTGGAGCCCCGCCAGGGCCCCTCGCCCTCCCGACACACCCACCTTCCGTGCACCTCGCTCCCTCGACTTTTCCCTCTCCCCACCTTGGCCCTCGCCCCAGCGTCTCTGCGCCGGGGTGCGCGCACAGCGGGTTCCCTGCACTTAATTTTGTGCAACGCTGCTGGCACTGCTGCCGCGGGGTCCGTTGGGCGATCCTCCCCCTTCCAAACAGCTTGCACCAGTTTCCCCCAGAACGCAGCCCCCTGCGCCAACTAGGGGCAGTGGGAGCACCTGGGCGCGCGGTCTCGCAAGATTAGAGTGGGCTTTGTGCGTGCAGCGCACACGCACGCGTGCCCGCGCGGCCCTCCGCGTCGCGGAGCGTACTTCCCCGCTCCGTGGTGCCTGCGGGACTCGGGCCTTTCCCAGGGGTTCCCGGGGCCCCGGCCCCAACACGCGCCGTCCGGGGCAGGGCGCACGGCTGCCGGGCACGTCTGGGCGGTCCCCCGGCTCCTCGCCAGCCGCCCCTCCCCCCTCGCCAAACTTTCTCCCAACTTCCCGACCTGCTCCGCTCGGCGCCCCGCTCCGCTTCCCTCATGAATTATTCAGCAGCGCGCGCTCCAATCAGCGCGCCCGAGCCCCTCTGGCTGAGCCCGGGCTGGGGGGGGGAGCTGCCCCGCCCCCCCGAGCGCCCCTCCCTCCCGGGCCAGGCGCCGCCCGGCCCAGTCCCGGCCCGGCCCAGCCCCGGCTCGGCCCGCCCGGCTCCGCGCCGCAGTCTCCCTCCCTCCCACTCCGTCGGCGCTCGGGCTCCCACCCTCCCCGTCCGCGCCGGAGCGCACTCGGCCCAGCTGCGCGAGCGGCGCCACTCCAGGGAGGGGGGGAGACCGCGAGCGGCCGGCCCACCCCCAGCCAGCCGGGGCGGGACCCCGAGGCCCCGGGGGGACCCCGACTCCAGCCACGTCTTGCGCTGCGCCCGCCCGCCCGGCGCGACCACTGCCAGGACGCCCCCCGGCCGGCCGGGCGCCCGCGCGCGCGCGGCGGAGACGCGGGGCCACACCTGGGCGCCGCCGCCCGGTGCCCGGCGCGCCCGCATGGGCCCGCGCTGAGGGCCCCGACCGAGAGTCCCGCGCGGGAAGTCGGCGTCCGCCCGCCCAGGGAGGGCTCAGAACTGGGGGGGCTAGGGCCCCCCAAACTCGGATCGGATCCAGCTCGGAGTGCGGCGGCGCCATGGAGCTCCGGGCGCTGCTCTGCTGGGCTTCCCTCGCCGCCGCGTTGGAAGGTGAGTTTCCCTAGGGGCGTCCCGCCACTTCTGGGCCCCCCAAAGTTGGGCTTGGGAGTCGGGGGGCCGCGCTCTCCGCATCCCGATCCCGGCACCCCCATTCCCAAACACTTGGGACCAATAGCGCAGGGGCGGGAGGGGGCGGGGAGGAGGCGCCCGGCGGGGAGTGGAGCTTTCTTTTGTTTGGGAGAGAGATGGAGTCGCGCTGCAGCCCGGGACGTGCCCCTGCCGCGGCTCCCCCAGACTTAACTCCCGATGCCAACGGCGCTCGGCAGCCGCCCCTTCCTCCCCACCCCAGGCTCCCAAACTATCCCCAAAGTTTCTGCCTCCCTCCCCTCCTCTCCCGCACCCCGCCGGGGCTCCTTGGGGCTGGAGGGCAGGCGTGCAGAACTTCGCGCTGGGCCTTTTCATTAGCGTCCACACCTGGGGCTGCGCTGCACCCTGGGCAGCCGGCGCCGGGGCCCCTTCCAAAGCTCCAGGCTGCACCCCACCCCGCTGAATGCCACCAAGACCCCAGTCCTAGGAGCCCCGTGCGGCCCTCCCTCGGGCTGGCCACCACCTCCTGGGCTCTCCAAATTGCTACTTCTTCCTGCACTCGCCCCTTTCCCCCAGCGGGGTCCCCTGGAGGGGGTGGGGGGACCAAGAGCACTTCCAGACCTCCCCTGGCCCTAATCACCATGAGCTGCCTCCCCTGTCCCCCGCCCCCTCCACTGCCTGGAATCAAAGGGGTCTCGGGGGTGGGCCATGGGGGGCTGCCCAAGGGAAGGAATCAAAAGCGGTTGGAAGGCTCCTCTCCTGCAGGGCTGGGGCTGGGAAGCTCTGCTCCGGGCCAGGGATCAAAGGCAGGGTGTGGGGCCGAGCAAGGCGAGGCCTGTGCAGCTCCCAGGAGAGAACAGGGGGCAGAGGCGGCACCGGGATGAACCTGTGGCTGGGAGCAAAGATGCCAAGTTCAGGAAATGCAGTTCTGAAACTGTTATCTGAGTGCATCCCAAGCCCAGTGTAAATGTTACTTTACTGCAGGGGGTGGGAGATAGGATTGTCCCATTTCACAGATCAGGAAACTGAGGCTTGGACATGTTAATGTATCCAAAGTCATGTGACCCCCTCCAAGGAAGGCGAGGGGTGGGAAGCAGAAGAGGAAGGAGAGGTGGTGACAGGAACAAGAAGGGAGGGGGGCCGAGCCAAGAGAGGCAGGTGAACTGACAGTGAGGCCGGAGCCAGCTGGAGTGGGAGAGAAAGTGAGGTAGGGAAGACAGCCCTGAGCAGAGACAGTGTGCAAATCAGAGACAGGAAAACGCTATCCAGGCCGAACAATGGAGGGTGGAGACAGCAGCCTCTTTCCACCCCCTTCCCAGAACCCGGGCATCCTGTCCCCAGCATGCCGGGCTGTCTCCCGACACCCATGGGGGCCCCCGGGCCTCACCTCGGGCTGGCCGGCTTCCCACCCAGCCCCTACCCGGTGGCCACCTGGCCAGCGCCTGGGCCCTGGGAGGAGGTCACCCCACCCACCTCGCCTGCAGCCTTCATGGGGAGGGTGTGTGCCCGGGGCCCAGCTGTGCTGCTAAGTCCCCTGGGTGCCGCCTCTCCCTCTCCGTGCCTATCCTCCTGCCCCCCGCCCTCCACTGCCAGGGCCCGTGGGGCTCCTCCTCGGCCCCCGACCCCTCCCTGCCCGCCACTGCTGCCGCAGGGCCAGGTGTGCTCATGCCCCCCCCCCCAGCTGCTCGTGCACACCCCTGCAGCCTCCTCCCCTCTCCCTTCCCGTAACCAAATCCAGATGTGAGGCCTTTGCAGGGGCCGGGCCGGGCTGGGCCGGGAACCCAAGCGTCCCAGCCCCCTGCACTTCCTCCGAAGGTGGCACGCTGCTGGGGGAGGCGGGAATGAGAGGAGGGGGCTCCACCGCTGTGAGGGAGGGAAAGACTGGGCTGTGGCTGTGGGAGGGGGGTTGGGGCTGGGAGAGGAGCAGGGTGGGGATGGCCTGAGTTGGACTTTGGGACAGGCATGTGGGGCGTGAGATGGACGTGTGCGTGACAGCAGCCCCCTGGCCGGGGCAGGGCAGGGCAGGGCTCGGGCAAGACCCGTGTCTGAGCCGCCGACCCATGTTCCCTTGCAGGCTGCTGCTCTCCACTCCTCCCACAGGACACAGCCTCTCTGGGGGTGTCCTGAGGGCCTGCTGGTGCCCGCCAGCTGCCGGGGGTGGAGCTGACACTCAGAGCAGAGGCTTGGGCGGGGTGGGGGCAGTGCAGAGGCCAGGTCCCCCCCTGCTCTGGGAGCCGGGGTGCTGTACCTGTCTCATCCCCCAGCAGCCCTGTCTGCCCGACCCAGACTGACTGTCTCCCTGTCGTCTTAGAAACCCTACTGAACACCAAGATGGAAACTGCCGATCTGAAGTGGGTGACGTTCCCGCAGGTGGAGGGGCAGGTACGAGCTGGACCTGGGAGCTGGGGCTGTGGAGGGAAACCGAGGCAGGAGGGAATACCCCTCACCACCACCACCACCTGTGCCCGCTGCTCCCCCCCAGCCTAGCAGGTGTCCCCGTGGGCCCCTCCCCAGGGACCCCCATGCCCACGCACGCCCTTCCCCTGTGCAGTGGGAGGAGCTGAGCGGCCTGGACGAGGAGCAGCACAGCGTGCGCACCTACGAGGTGTGCGACGTGCAGCGCGCGCCGGGGCTGGCGCACTGGCTGCGCACGGGCTGGGTCCCTCGCCGCGGCGCCGTGCACGTGTACGCCACCTTGCGCTTCACCATGCTGGAGTGCCTATCGCTGCCCCGCGCCGGCCGCTCCTGCAAGGAGACCTTCACCGTCTTCTACTACGAGAGCGACGCCGACACGGCCACGGCCCTCACGCCGGCCTGGATGGAGAACCCCTACATCAAGGTGCGCAGGCGTCCCCCCTCCCCCCACCCCTGGGGCTGGGCCATGGCCTCCAGGGAATGGGTCGGGCTTCCTGGGAGCAGGTGCACCCCTGGACAGGCTGCCCGGGAAGCCCTCCCCGTCCTGTGCCAAGGCCAGGCCTTCAAGCTGCTCCCGTGGTCACCTGGGCCCCGCTGTGCTCCGGCCCCGCTGCCTCCCCCCACTCCTTGGCTGCCTCGGCTTTTTGCAGCCCCCGCCCTAGCTGCCCCCTCCCCGACTCTCGCGCCAACCCTGCCTGTGCGCCGCGTCCCCGCGCCATGGCGGATTCTCCCACCCTGGTCTCAGCAGGCTCCATCACTCCTCTGTGGTTCTCTGAGGTCAGGGCCCAGCGGGGCAGGTGCGCAGGACAGAGGCTGGGGTTAGCGGAGGAGGCCAAGGGGAGGGTGAGCCGGGAGGATGGCGCCCTGGGTCCTCGCGGAAGTGTGGACTGCAGCAGAGTCTGTCCCGGCCCCTGCAGGTGGACACGGTGGCCGCAGAGCACCTGACCCGGAAGCGGCCCGGGGCCGAGGCCACTGGGAAGGTGAACATCAAGACGCTGCGTCTGGGCCCGCTCAGCAAGGCCGGCTTCTACCTGGCCTTCCAGGACCAGGGCGCCTGCATGGCCCTGCTGTCCCTGCACCTCTTCTACAAGAAGTGCGCCCAGCTCACTGTGAACCTGACCCGCTTCCCGGAGACCGTGCCCCGGGAGCTTGTGGTGCCCGTGGCGGGCAGCTGCGTGGCCGACGCCGTCCCTGCCCCCGGGCCCACCCCCAGCCTGTACTGCCGGGAGGACGGCCAGTGGGCCGAGCAGCCGGTCACGGGCTGCAGCTGTGGCCCCGGGTACGAGGCCGCCGAGGGAAACACCAAGTGCAGAGGTAAGGGCCGGAGCCTGCCCGTGAGGACGCCTGTGGCGGGGGTTGGGGGTTCTGTCCCCTGCTGTTGGACCAACATACGGGCCTCTCCGGAGCATCCTTGGTGCTCCCAGAGCCCCCGGCAGAGTTCGAAGCCCCCTCTCACTTCCAGACCACCCCCACCCCCAGCTCCTCTACTTCTTGCATTCTTCTCAAGGCTGGTCCAGGATGCAGGACGGTCCTTGGGCAGAGGACGCCTCGTCAGGCTCGGGACAGAGGTGTCGTGGGCTCTGCGCTTTTTAATTTATTTTATTGATTTGAAAGGCAGAGTTAGAGGGAGAGACACAGAGAGAGATCTCCATCCACTGCTTCGCGTCTTAAGCTGGATTTTGTAAAATTGTAGGGAACCCTTGAGCTTCGTTGCAGGGGACAGGTGCCTCCCTTGTCACTCATTCTCCACCTGAACTTGACCACTCGTTCTACCCGGGGCACCAGCAGCGCAGGGCCTGAGGCTTGGGCATCGGCCGCGTTGCCGTCACCGGCACTGACAGCCCACTCCGGGTGTCCCCAGAACCGCAGGGCGTGGTTCTCGCTCACCGTGAATTTGATGTCACAGAAGCTTCTATGTCTTGTTACTAAAGAAACGCGCCTGCTCCTCCATCCTGACCTTGTCTGTTCACCTTTTGCTCTCTGTGTCTCAGCGTCCTTTGTAGTCCTGGGTATTTAGTGATGCCCATTTACTTATTCAGAAGGTTTTCCTTTAAAATTTTATTTTGTTTATTTGAAAAGAGTTAGGTAGAGCCAGAGAAAGAGAGGTCTTCCATCCGTTGTTTCACTCCCCAATTGCCCGCAACAGCCGGAGCTGCGCCAATCTGAAGCCAGGAGCCTCCTCCAGGTCTCCCATGCAGGTGCAGGGGCCCAAGGACTTGGGCCATCTTCTACTGCTTTCCCAGGCCACAGCAGAGAGCTGGATCGGGAGTGGAGCAGCTGGGACTAGAACCAGCGCCCATGTGGGATGCCGGCACTGCAGGCTGGGGCTTTAACCTGCTGTGCCACAGCGCCGGCCACTTATTCCGAAGATTTAATTACTTTTTTTTTCTTCAAAGGTTTATTTATTTGAAAGTCAGAGTTACACAGAGAGAAGAGGAGAGGCAGAGAGAGAGGTCCCCCATCCGCTGGTGCACTCCCCAATTGGCCGCAACGGCTGGAACTGTGCTGATCCAGAGCCAGGAGCCTCCTCCAGGTCTCCCATGCAGGTGCAGGGGCCCAAAGACTTGGCCATCTTCTACTGCTTTCCCAGCTATAGCAGAGAGCTGGATCGGAAATGGAGCAGCCGGGACTCCAACCAGCGCCCACATGGGATGCCAGCACTGCAGGTGGTGGCTTCACCTGCTATGCCATGTGCCAGCCGCTTAATTACTTTTTTGAAAGGCAGAGTTAACAGGGATAGAGGGAGAGAGCGCGCGAGAGATCTTCCATCTGCTGGTTCACTCCCCAAATGGCTGCAAAGGGTGGGGCTGAGCAAGGCTGAAAACAGAAGCCTGGAGCTCTGTGCAGGTCTCCCAGGTGGGTGGCCAGAGCCCTCTGCTGCTCTCTCAGGTGCATTAGCGGGAGCCGGTTCAGAGGCAGAGAAGCCAGGACTGACTGGCGCCCACATGGAATCCCGGCATTGATGTAACTCACTACGCTGCCGTCCCAACCCTGTGCTGTCCGTTTAAAGTCATTGTTCTGAGCGGGGGCTTCACCAGGCGGCCAAGGTCAGAGTCAGAAAGGGGCTGGGGCCGCTGCTGTGTCGTGGTGAGTTAGCTGCAGCCTGCCGTGCCAGCATCCGTCTGGGTGCCGGTTCGAGTCCTGGCTGTTCCACTTCCCAATCCAGCTCCTTGCTAATGCACGCGGGGAAGCGGTGGAAGATGGCCCAAGCGCTCGGGCCCCTGCACCTGCATGGGAGACCCAGAAGAAGCTTTGGCTTTGGCGTGGACACTGTGGCCCCTTGGGGAGTGAACCAGCAGATGGAAGATCTCTCTCTGTCTCTGTCTCTGTCTCTCTGTAACTCTGCCTTTCAAATACATAAATCTTAGGAAAAGAAAGGGTAGGCGCTGTGCTGGGGAGGGAGGGTCGCCTTCTCCTCCCAGCGGGGAGGATTCTGTGAGATCTTTCGCCTCTTTTCCCCCTTGGCACTTCATGCAGCATTAAAAGCAGCTTTTTTCTCCCTGATACTTAGAACTTTATTGCTACATTAGAAACTTGTAACCATGCAAGTTCCCGAGGAGGAAGTCATAGAAGGCTCTGGCTCTGTTGCAGAGGTTAAAGCCCCTTTGTCCTGTAGGGGGTGCAAGGACACACAGAGGTCATCAGTGGTGACACAGCGGGTGCCATCCAGAACATACGGACAAACGGGACGTTTAAAAAGGAACCTTAGAGCCGGCGCCGTGGCTCAATAGGCTAATCCTCCACCTTGCGGCGCCGGCACACCGGGTTCTAGTCCCGGTCGGGGCGCCGGATTCTGTCCCGGTTGCCCCTCTTCCAGGCCAGCTCTCTGCTGTGGCCCGGGAGTGCAGTGGAGGATGGCCCAGGTGCTTGGGCCCTGCACCCCATGGGAGACCAGGAGAAGCACCTGGCTCCTGGCTCCTGCCATCGGATCAGCGCGGTGCGCCGGCTGCAGCGGCGGCCATTGGAGGGTGAACCAACGGCAAAGGAAGACCTTTCTCTCTCTCTCTCTCTCTCTCACAGTCCACTCTGCCTGTCAAAAAAAAAAAAAAAAAAAAAAAAAGGAACCTTAGGGAACCAGGGCTACTCTGAGCTCTCTGCAAGGGAGCGTGGGTGGTAAGAAATCAGAACGTGCCTAGAACCTGCAAAGACTTAGGTGTACGAAAGAAACCCGAAACCAAGACTCTCTTTTTATTTTTAAAGATTTATTTATTTATTTGAAAGAGTTATACAGAGGAGAGGCAGAGCGAGAGAGAGAGAGAGGTGTTCCATCCGCTGGTTCACTCCCCAGTTGGCTGCAACAGCCGGAACTGTGCCGATCCGAAGCCAGGAGTCAGGAGCTGCTTCTGGGTCTCCCGCACAGGTGCAGGGGCCCAAGGACTTGGGCCACCTTCTACTGCTTTCCCAGGCCGTAGCATAGCAGAGAGTTGGATCAGAAGTGGAGCAGCCAGGACTAGAACCAGCGCCTATATGAGATGCCGATGCTGCAGGCGGCGGCCTGACCCGCTGCGCCACAGCGCCAACCCCCAACCAAGACCCTTGAGCTGTGTTGAAATTCACTGTTGGAGGAGACCTGCGTTTGTGACGGGAGCGACCCTCCTGCTGGATGGTTTCCTTTGCGGGGGAGCACTGCTCTCCAGTGTCCGGCTTCAGCTTTGATTTGTCAGACTTCTGCTAAGCCTGGCCTGTCGCTCACCTAGCCTAAGGCGAGGCAAGGAGACTGCGTAAAAGCCGTCCGCTGGGCGTTCACTGCTGCTGTCTCTGGACCAGGCTAAGAGCAGCTTTGATGATCCTCTCTCTCTGTCTCTCTGTCTCAGCCTGTGGCCAGGGCACCTTCAAGCCCCTGTCGGGCGAGGGCTCCTGCCAGCCGTGCCCGGCCAACAGCCACTCCAACACCATCGGGTCAGCTGTCTGCCAGTGTCGCATTGGGTACTTCCGGGCGCGCACAGACCCCCAGAGCGCACCCTGCACCAGTAAGTGACCAGCACCGCGGGCCGGGTGGAACAGGCCGTCGCCGCGGGGAGAGGTCCAGGCTGCCCCATCCGCCTCCCCCTCCCCGCCCTGAGGCTCTGGTGGTCTCCGCAGCCCCTCCCTCCGCCCCACGGAGCGTGGTTTCCCGCCTGAACGGCTCCGCCCTGCACCTGGAGTGGAGCGCGCCCCTCGAGTCCGGCGGCCGGGAGGACCTCACCTACGCCGTCCGCTGCCGCGAGTGCCGCCCGGGAGGCTCCTGCACGCCCTGCGGGGGGGACCTGACCTTCGACCCCGGCCCCCGGGACCTGGTGGAGCCCTGGGTGGCGGTCCGCGGGCTGCGTCCTGACTTCACCTATACGTTTGAGGTCTCCGCCTTGAACGGGGTGTCCTCCTTAGCCAGCGGGCCTGTCCCGTTTGAGCTGGTCAATGTCACCACTGACCGCGAAGGTGAGACGGCCGGAGGGGGCGGGGTGGGGCATGGGCATAGGGAGGACCCGGGCTTCCCGGGCAGGGGGCAAGGGGCAGAGCGCGTGAGGAAGACACCAAGGCAGGCTGCCCGGAGAGCCGAGGAGGGAAGTCAGGAGATAGCCGGAGGGCGGGGACAGGTGCGGGGCCCCATGCGTCTGTCTCCCCATCCCGCAGTGCCTCCCGCGGTGTCCGACATCCGGGTCACGCGCTCCTCGCCCAGCAGCCTGAGCCTGGCCTGGGCCGTGCCCCGGGCACCCAGCGGCGCTGTGCTGGACTATGAGGTCAAGTACCACGAGAAGGTGAGGCCACGCTCGGGCCCGGCGGTCTGGGCTGGCCGGGGGCGCCTGGGTGTCGGGGCTGCTGCCCGCGGGCGGTGGGACCTCTGGCCGGCTCCTGGCGGGCTGCTCTGTAGAATAGAGGACTCACCCGGAGCTGCTGCCGGACGTCCTGCAGATACGGGACGTGTATCTGGAGCCTTCAGAGCACGGTGGAGAGTTCTGTACCTGGGCCGGAACACAGGCGCCAACGCTGCCCTTTAGAGTTGCTTGCTGGTTATGTATATGAGGTGTAAATGAAACATACGTGAATGTCCTGGTTAGACCTGGATTTCAACCCCAAGACAGCTCATGGTTGTCTATGCAAATATTCCCAAACCACACCATAGTCCCCGGCGCTCGGGCTGTGCACTGAGTGCCAAACACAGCCGGTGCCTGCACGCTGGAGCTCAAGGCCTCTTCGGCCTCAACAGCACCATGACGCCGGTGATGGACCCGGGGTGTCGGGGCAAGGGGCAAGGAGAGCAGAAACTGGGGGCCCTGGCTGACCCCCGACCCCTCCTCCTCCTGGACAGGGTGCCGAGGGCCCCAGCAGCGTGAGGTTCCTGAAGACGTCGGAAAACCGGGCGGAGCTGCGGGGGCTGAAGCGGGGAGCCAGCTACCTGGTGCAGGTGCGCGCGCGTTCTGAGGCTGGCTACGGGCCCTTTGGCCAGGAGCACCACAGCCAGACCCAGCTGGACGGTGAGCCTGGGGGGACGCGGTGGGGGTGGGAGGCCTCGCCTCTGTCCCACAAAAAAAGCCACGACCTCACACCTCTCCTCCTCCTCCTCCTCTTACTCCTCCTCCTCCTCCTCCTCCTCTTGGCCAGGAGGCCCGGCCCAGCAGGGCAGCGTAGGCGGCTGGGTGTGAAGTCCACCTTGGCTGCTTGCTGGCCTCAGTGACCTTGAACAGCAACTTGAGCCCAGGCCCCCGCCCCCACCCCCTCATCCGGTCAAATGGAGGCATCTTGAAGCCCCAGTGGGAGGAGCTTTGAGGATGGAGTGGGCCTGCCCCGAAGTGTGCTGCACCGGCTTCTTATTTATTTTATTTGAAAGGCAGAATTATAGAGGCAGAGAGAGAGGTCTTCCATCCACTGCTTCACTCCCCAAATGGCTACAATGGCCAGGAGCTTCTTCCGGGTCTCCCATGCGGGTGCAGGAGCCTAAGGACTTGGGCCATCCTCTACTGCTTTCCCAGGCAATAGCAGAGAGCTGGATGGGAAGTGGAGCAGCCAGGACTCAAACTGGCACCCACATGGGATGCTGGCACTGCAGGCTGCGGCTTTACCCGCTACGCCACAGCGCCGGCCGCACGCACCGCTCCTTCTCTAAGCCTTGCTGCTGTTTCTAAGTATGCAACTGAGATGTAATTCCCACCCATTTAAAGTACACAAATTTTTTAAGATTTATTTATTTATTTGCAAGGCAGAGTTAGAGAAAAAGAGAGAAACAGAGACAGATCTTCCATCTACTGGTTCATTCCCCAAATGGCTGCAACAGCCTGGACTGGGCCAGGCTGAAGGCAGGAGCCAGGAGCTTCATCCAGGTCTCCCACGTGGGTACAGGGGCCCAAGGACTTGGGCCATCCTCCACTGCTTTCCCAGGCCATAGCAGGGAGCTGGATCAGAAGTGGAGCAGCCAGGTCTCGAACCGGCGCCCATATGGGATGCCGGCACTGCAGGCAGAGGCTTAGCCCACTACGCCACAGCGCCGGCCTCCCGGGAGCATTTAGTACACTCACAGAATGATGCAAGCCTCACCATAGTTCATCACGGGTGCTTTTCTGCACCCCCAAAAAGAGACGGCGCATCCCTCGGCCTCCTCCCAGTACCACCAGACCCAGGCAAACCCTCACCTGCTTCTGTCCGTATGGAGTGGGCTATTCTGGGGTGTCCTAAACAGGCGTGCGCCACGCGGCCTTGCCTGCAGGGGCTTTCGTTCAGCCCGCGTGTGCGAGGCCCACGCGTGTTGGCCGTGTGTGAGGTCATCTCTTCTGATATGGCTGAGCCCTCCCCGCGGCATTGGTACAGCCCGTCATCCTCATCTTCATTTTCCCACCAGGTGGTTTTCCACCTGGGGCTATGCATCCTTTTTAATTCTTTGCCTGTGGGACCCCTCATGCAAACGAGACTTAGTGTACGACGGATCTTCAAAATGTTCATGCAGGATTCGTATTTGGGGCCGCGTTGTGCAGCCGGTTAAGCCATGGCTCGTGACACTGGGATCCCACGTCCGAGTGCTGGTTCTTGGCTGCTCCGCTTCCCATCCAGCTCCCTGCTGGTGCACGAGGGCAGGCCGCACAGATGACCCAGGCTCTCGGGCCGCTGCAGCCGTGTAGGAGACACGGAAGGAGTTCCTGGCTCCTGGCTTCAGCGCGGCGCAGCCCCAGCTGTTGTGGTCATTTGGAGAGTGAACCAGTGGATGGAAGGTCTCGCTCCCTCTCTCTCTCTGATGCTCTTTCAAATAAATATTTTAAAAGTCTCGTATTTTTAAAAAAACTGCAGGGATTTATGTTAGGAAAGATTTATTGGAGAGGCAGAGTTAGAGAAAGATCTTCATCTGCTGGTTCACTCCCCAAATGGCCACGGCGGCTGGAGCAGAGCTGATCTGAAGGCAGGAGCCAGGAGCTTCTTCCAGGTCTCCCATGCAGGTGCAGGGGCCCTAGCACTTGAGCCACCCTCCACTGCCTTGCCACCTGGGAAGCCGAGGCAGGATGCCGGCACCCAACCAGAGGCGTAGCCTGCTATGCCAGAGCGCCGGCCATGATGAGCTTATCTCTTCTTTCCGTTTTGCCGTGAGCTTTCTGAAGTCCCCTCATATCACTCACTGGACAAAATCCAAGCTGTTCTGGGAGTGATAAGGTTGGGAACCGGGGCGGCGCCCACAGCCGGTGGGGGAAGAGTTTGCCGTCCACTGTCGGCTCCACACTCTGCCCCGCCCCGCCGTGTCCTCGGGAGCCCTCAGCTCCCGGGGGGCCCGAGTCGCCTGCTGAGCAGCCCCTCCTCCACAGAGACGGACAGCTGGCGGGAGCAGCTCGCCCTGATCACAGGCACGGCGGTCGTGGGCGTGGTGTTGGTGCTGGTGGTCATCATCATCGCCATTCTCTGCCTCAGGTGAGGCCCCGGAGGCCCCCGGAGGCCCTGCGCCTTCTCCCTCCCTGCCACTCCCTGCCCCTCCCTGCCCGGGCTCCTCTGCGGGGGCGTGGGGACCGGCGCCTGGGTTTACCCCGTGCTGCTTTCCCGTCCCCAGGAAGCAGAGCAGCGGTAGAGATGCGGAATACTCGGACAAACACGGGCAGTATCTCATCGGGCACGGTGGGTCAGGCCGTCCTCGAGGCTGCAGGGGCGGGGGACCGTCCCAGGTGGGGGGGCCGTCCCCGCCCAGCTCACGGGCCCAGCATCATTCCGCAGGTACTAAGGTCTACATTGACCCCTTCACTTACGAAGACCCCAATGAGGCTGTGCGGGAGTTTGCAAAAGAGATCGACGTCTCCTATGTGAAGATCGAAGAGGTGATTGGCGCAGGTAAGAGGAAGGGTCCCCGGCGCAGCGGCGGGGGTGGGGCCACGCCGGGGCGGGAGGTGGCTGAGCCCCGCCCTGCCTGCCGCAGGTGAGTTTGGAGAGGTGTGCAGGGGGCGACTCAAGGCCCCCGGGAAGAAGGAAAGCTGCGTGGCCATCAAGACCCTGAAAGGCGGCTACACGGAGCGCCAGCGGCGGGAGTTCCTGAGCGAGGCCTCCATCATGGGCCAGTTCGAGCACCCCAACATCATTCGCCTCGAGGGCGTGGTCACCAACAGCGTGCCCGTCATGATCCTCACGGAGTTCATGGAGAACGGCGCCCTGGACTCCTTCCTGCGGGTGAGCTGCCTGCCGTGCTGGCCTGGGCGGCCAGCAGCAGAAGTCAGGCGGGCTCGGGGCCCACAGCCCCTTCCCCGCCCTGCAGTCTGCTGCCCTTGGGTTCCTGTGAGGGAGAGGCCGAGTTCCTGGGAACCCCCTTTTCCCTTGGCCTCCTTGGGAAGCTCCGCTGACCCATCCAGCAGGTGTTTGTCATTCTTCCGTTTTTAAGAAATTGGGTTCTCATGCTTGTCTGAAAGCAGAGAGGTGGAGATCTCTCTGCTGGTTCATCCCTGGGCTAGGTTAGGCCAGAGCCAGGAGCTGCAACTCCCTCCAGGTCTCCCGTGTGGGTAGCAAGGACCCAAGTACTCGAGCCATCCCCTGCGGCCTCCTGGAGTGCATGTTAGCAGGGAGCCGCAGGGGAGGCAGCGCTGCGGTTCAAACCCAGGCCCTCCTGCGTGCGGACACGAGCGTCAGCCAAGCGCCTGCCCCGTTCTTTCGGCAAATATTTACCGAGTGCCTCCTGTGTGTGCTAGCCGCCGTCCTGGCCCTGGGAGGCGAGCCAAGGACGTGGTGCACGGGGTTTCTGCTCTGAAAGTTAACCAGTAGACAAAGCAGCTCAGACAGGCAGACGGCAAACAGAATCGTGGAAGTGACGGGTCGGCGTGGGAAGGGCCTGTTGATCTCTGTCTTAATGGGTTTTACTGAGTTCTGGTCTTTTTTTAACTTTACTGGGTATATTTCTTGAAAACATTCTCCTACATAGAACAGCACTGCATGTAACGGGATACCTAGGTCAGGGCTAGGCTTAACAGCTGATGATTTTTTTTTAAAGATTTATTTATTTGGAAGTTGGAGTCACAGATAAAGAGCGAGAGACAGAGAATCTTCTCTCTGCTGATTCATTCTCCAAACGGCTGCAATGGCCAGGGCTGGGCCAGGCCGAAGCCAGGCGCTTCATCCGGGGCTCCCATGCAGGTGCAGGGGCCAAGCACTCGGGCTACTATTCGCTGCTTTGCCCAGGTGAATTAGCAGGGAGCCGGGTTGGAAGTGGCACAGCCGGGACTGCACTGCAGGTGGCAGCTTAACCCGCTGGGCCACACCCCCCGCCCCTCAGCCCCTGGGAAATGTATTTTTAAGCCTCTCTAAATCCCAAGCACCTCCTAGTCTGGACCCTCGTCCCCTTGTTCTTAGAAACGTCATGGGGTCGTTTCGTTTCTGTTACTCCTCACCAGAGCGGCTCTAATGTCTTGATGAGTTTGCAATTAAACGTCTGGGGCTGTACTACATTTGGGGGGTGCTGCTTCACGTGGTTCCCATCAGGAGTCACCAGCTCTCTCTGGCCCGGTCCCTCCCTGGTGGTCCCAGGAGTCTGTGTTGTGACGCTGGTACCTCCTGAAGGGGGACGGTGGTCGCTGGGAGATCAAGGGACACCTGGGTGGATGAGCAAGGGCCGGAGGTGAGAAGAGGGGAGAGCCGAGTGGGCAGAACTCGGCACACTAAGACACAGGAGGCCCATGTGGCTGAACCTTGGCCACAGAGCAGAGGGGTGATGGTGGGTCGTGACGGGGGGTGCCGGGGCAAGCTTTTGGAGGGATGGGGTGAAAGAGGGAGATGACTGAAGTCCCTTTGGCTGGGTGCTGGGGGCGCGTGTCACCGCTGTCATCCGGGGGTGTGGAGAAGTGGATCTGGGACAGGTGTGGGAGGCTGGACTAGCTGGCAGGTGAGAGGGAGGGTCCGGGAGAGAGCGAGGTCTCCACGGAACGTGTCCAGTGCTGTTCCCACGCGTCTGTACGCACCCAAGGCCCAGGGAAGGCGCAGGTGTGGAGGACAGATTTGGAATGTGCTCTGTAGACTCGGTGTCTCTGGCCCTGTGGGGCTGCTGAGGGTCCCCTGCACCCTAGCTGAACCCGGAATATGGGGTCAGTTGACTGCGTGGGACAGATTGGTTTGTTTACCTGGTCAAGGTTGGGTTGGCGCTGTGGTCACTGGTCACCCCCGAATTCCTCACCGCTCACCAGTCCTGGAGGGCTGGGTGAGAGTACTGTTGGCAGTCATACACAAGTACACTGACCTAACACATCAAAGCATCAGCTGGACATTTCCTGAGTGTAAAAATGTCACGTGGTACAAAAACCTTTAAATCTTCATATAGTGGAGGCCAAACGCATAGTAAGAGGTGCGAGTCCGTGGGTGAGACAGGAGGGCTCACCTGGGAGTAGGGAGAGGACTCCGCATGTGACAGGGCGAACCGGTGGTGGGCTGCCCTAACCACACCCCTTTCTCTGTGCGCCCTGCAGCTCAACGATGGGCAGTTCACGGTCATCCAGCTGGTGGGCATGTTACGGGGCATCGCCTCAGGCATGCGGTACCTCGCAGAGATGAGCTACGTGCACCGAGACCTGGCCGCGCGCAACATCCTGGTCAACAGCAACCTAGTGTGCAAGGTCTCCGACTTCGGCCTCTCCCGCTTCCTGGAAGAGAACTCCTCCGATCCCACCTACACGAGCTCGCTGGTGAGGCTGGGGCGCCGGGGGCTGAGCTAGGTTCTTGGGGCGGAGGAGGGTGGGGTCCCGGGGGCCTGGTTCGGGGCAGCATGGTGGGTCCCCCGAGTCCCTCGGTCCACCTGTACCTCCCCCTTCGGCAGGGAGGGAAGATCCCCATCCGATGGACAGCCCCTGAGGCCATTGCTTTCCGGAAGTTCACATCGGCCAGCGACGCCTGGAGCTATGGGATTGTGATGTGGGAGGTGATGTCCTTCGGGGAGCGGCCCTACTGGGACATGAGCAATCAGGACGTAAGTGTGTCCTGGGCCCTACCGGGTTTCCCTGGGGTGGGGGTTCCCAGTGAGTCACCAGTGTTGGGTTCTTGGGATGAGGGGTGGCAGAGTTGGTATTTGAGTCAAAATGTCTGACACAGCCCAAGAGCCGCTGGGGTATCTGGCCGTAGCCAGCCTCAGCCCTGGCCAGGGGGGACTGTGGCTCCCAACCCGGCAGCTACCGAGTCACCAGTCAGTCAGGGCTCCCTGTGACTTTGCCCCGGTACCTCTTCCCATCATTCCAGGTGATCAATGCCATTGAACAGGACTACCGGCTGCCCCCGCCCCCAGACTGTCCCACCTCCCTACACCAGCTCATGCTGGACTGTTGGCAGAAGGACCGGAACGCCCGGCCTCGCTTCCCCCAGGTGGTCAGCGCCTTGGACAAGATGATCCGGAACCCTGCCAGCCTCAAAATCGTGGCCAGGGAGAATGGCGGGTGAGGACCCGAGCGAGGGCCCTCCTTGCTGCGCTCAGCTACCACTGAGAGCCCAAACCCCCACTCACCCAGGGGCCCCATCCCTTTGGGGGTGGGTGGGGGCAGCCCCGGGCTCACTGTTCTTCCCCACCCTTGCCCGCAGCGCCTCCCACCCACTCCTGGACCAACGGCAGCCTCACTACTCAGCCTTTGGCTCGGTGGGCGAGTGGCTTCGAGCCATCAAGATGGGAAGATACGAGGAGAGCTTCGCAGCTGCGGGGTTTGGCTCCTTCGAGCTCGTCAGCCAGATCTCCACAGAGTAAGTGGTGGCGGGAGGGCAGGGCGAGGCCTCACTTCCCACAAGAACGCTGCTCTACACCACGGCCAGGGGAGCCCTCAGAGCAGTGGCGGCTGCCGGCCCGCGGTGCCCAGCTTGGCCCCTGGTGCCTTCCAGCCTCTCCAGCTGTATCTCTGTGCCTCGATCTACATTCCACAGCCGGCTCTCACATTAACAACGCCTGGACTCTGCTTCTGTCTTCCCACCCATAAAAGGAGAAGACGGGCCTGGGTTTGGGAGATGCCTTCCAGCTTTAATGTTAAATGGTTTTACGAGTCCACTGCTTCCCAAATACTGTTTTCCTCCAGGCTTGGCTGAGCTGTTACACACTGGGTTTGAAGAAACGGTAGAAGGAATAGAAACCTGGGACAGAGGGGCCCCGACCAGTCTGCCCCGGGGGCGGAGGCTCCACTCGCACCTGCTCTCTTGTGGCAGGTGCCCCGCCCTTCTACGGCTCCTTCCCCTGCAAAGGGATCTCTGCGGTCCCCTTCTTATCCCCACCTCCTCTCTGGCTGCGCAGGGCTGCCACGGGGCTCCTAAACCCTCAGGAAACTGCCTCCCCACTGTTGACATCAGCTGCACGCTCCTGATTGGCTGGTGCTGCCGAGGCCCGGGAGTGCTCTGCAGCCAGCCAGGGGAGCGCCCCCCGTGTGGCTCACTGGGCCCTCTTCCTTCACAGAGACCTACTCCGGATTGGAGTCACCTTGGCGGGACACCAGAAGAAAATCCTGGCCAGTGTCCAGCACATGAAGTCCCAGGCCAAGCCCGGAGCCCCGGGCGCATCAGGAGGACCAGCGCCGCAGTTCTGACCTGCAGGAGCCCCCACCCCGGGGACACGGCCTCCCGTTCTTCCTGGGGCAGAGCCGGGAGGGGGACTTGGCAGAGGTCTCCACCCTGGGCCCCGCTGGATTGCACTTTGAACCCATGGGAGTGGGGAGTTGGCAGTTTAGAGACAGGATGTGGGGGTCTTGCCTGCCTGTGGGAGTGGAGAAATCATTCCCCGCCACCCTGGGCGGAGACCCCCAGACCCAGGGTGTGACCTGAGGGACAGGAAGTTCCACCCCAGGTGCTGCCCTCACCTTGCAGACCAAAGAGCGGGGGCGACTGGCCTGCCCACCGGGCGTGGACGCAGGAGGGGCGTCGGCCCAGTGATGAAGTCATTGGGCTCTGAGGCCCCTGCTTGCTGCTGTCGTCCCCACCTCAATCATTCTCCCTTGTAAATGCCCCTCCCCCATCGGCTGCCTTCATATTGAAGGTTTGGAGTCTTACGTGTTGTTCTCAGTCTTGTTTTTCTGCTTCCCCTTTTGTTTTCGTTCTGTTTCCTGTCTGCTTTCTGTGTTGGAGGGCACCGGTTTCACCATCACCTCCTTTGCCCAAGGTGAAACGGGCCCAGCCGTCGTCTTTCCTGAACGGAGCCTCACTCTCCCCCTGTGCCCCAAGAGTCCCCATGCCGAGTCCCGGGGTGGGGGTGGGGGGTCGAGTGGAGTGAGGCAGTGCAAGGGGCCGGGTGATGGGGATGGTAGCAGCCAGAGAAAGATGCCGATGCTTGGCGGGGTTCTTAAATTATATTTAAAAAGAAACTTTTGTATAAATAAAAGGACAAGGGCCATGTCCCAACTCAGGGTGTCTGGGAGCCAAGGGTGGAGAGTGGGTTCTGGGACTGGGACTGGGCCCTGGGTTCCCAGCCTCCCCCACGTGCTATTTGGGGGTAGTGGGGTAGGGGCCGGGATGAGTCACTGGCAGCTGCTTCTAACGGCTCCAGCTGCCTCTGCCAAGCGCCTGAGGCACCTCCGGGGTGGGGCTGCCCCCTCCTGCCCCTCCTCTGGCTCCTCGGGCCTGGCAGGGGCTGTGTGAGGGAGAGGAGGCCTGGAGCTCGGGCCCTGCCCTGCAGCTCCCTGAGAACGAGGTAGGGGAAGCAGACAGATGTGAAACAGATGTTGACAGCCGGGATTGGTTTAGCAGGAGGGGAGCATGCCAGCCTTGGCTGGGGGAGGGGGGCTGGGAATGGCAGGAGACCCCCCACTGCCGGCTGGGCTGGGCAGGGCCTGGGCAGGACAATTCCTCCATTCAGGATGCTGCCCAGGCAGGTTCTCCCGGACTCAGGAAGGGGCGGGAAAACAGAGTTTATCTTCCCCCAGCTTCTCCCTCCCACCAGGAAGAGGAGGGGGTCGGTCCCATTTTCTTCCAGGCACCTTTTTGGTCCACTCCCTCTGCCCCCACTCGGGGACAGTGACAGCAGCCTGTGTAGCTGCTTCTCTGTCGCCCACTGCTGGCAAGTGAGGGTCACTGCGCAGTCCAGGACACTGCAACCTCTGCAGGCCCCCCAGCCCCCTCTCTCCCGTGGTGACAGCCCCAGTATTGTACCCTCAGAAGGGGCCGGGAGGGACCGAGTCCGGACCGAGTGCAGCCCGAGAAGGGTTCTATCTGGAGGATGCCGCTCAGATAAGGCGGCCTGCAGAGCTGGGGCAGGGAGGAGACGGAGCAGGTGTGGGGAGCTCGGAGCCTGCCGACCGTGCTAGCCCCAGGGACGCAGCAGCCGCACTGGGCAGGGCAGCCTGGCCAAGCGCTCCCTCTGTCACCACCCCAGGTTGGGTCTCACTTCATGTTACAGGCTGGGCACAGCACCACCTGGGGCACCCCGTCATCTCAAGCTCCAGTTCCCTGTCCCTCGGCTCTTGCATCCTGAGCCCGCCTTTCCTTCTCAGAGCCCAGACTGGAAGCCCCAACCCCCCCCCAGGAGCTGCCCGGTGGGAGGCACAAGCCCTGGACTAGGGGCGACAAGCGTGCCCCGTGGCCTCAGGCCGGGGTGGGTCTCCTGCTTGGGTAGAGGTCAGAACTGCACAGGCCACCCCTCGTCCTGATCCCGGAGCAGCCCCTAAGACCTTTTGGCAAGTGAATGAGCAACATAGGGTAGGGGCCGCCTCAGGCTCACTCACCCTTTGGAAAAAACCCAGTTCTGGTTCTCCGTGTCTGCCCGGTGCTTCATCTCATCGCTCGATAGGAAGAGGCCGTCACGTAGCCCAGTGGGGAAGCCCCCCGTGAGGATGCCTGGGGCCCTGTGTCCGTGCCCAGTTCAACACCGGACCCCCGCTTCCAAAGAGGCCCCTGGGAAGCAGCGGTGATGACCCAGATAATGGGGTTCCCAGCTCCCGGTTCAGGCCTGGCCCGGCCCTGGCTGTTGAGGGCATTTGGGAAGTGAACCAGTGGATGGGAGCTTCCTGTTGGCCTCAAATTCAAACAACCAAATAAGACTCCCCAAGACTCAACCTCTCACCACCCTGGTGGGGAGCTCAGAAGCCGCAAGAGCAGGCGGGGTTCCTGGGTGAAGCCCCTCCGTGCCCCAGGAGCCGGGGTGTGGGGCTGCACGTGCCACCCCAGGTGTTCTAGGGGACGGTCCCCCTCCCCTCTGGGCAGTTTGTGCACCCTCCTTCCTATAAAACTTGCCTGCCAGACCCAGCCCTGGCCTACCCCATGACCACGTGGAAGTTCACATCTCAAAAATAAGTGATTTTATTGCTTCTCCTTGTCTGAGACAACTCAGAACTGGGCACCTTTGAGGACACCTGGCTCGGAAGCAGGCTGGGCTCCAGGCTGCCAAGGTGCTGCCGGGCGGTGGGGCTGCTGCTCACCTGCGCCCAGGAGCCGATCTCGGCTCAGACTGCGTCTTCTCCCTGGGAGCGGTGGGGGCACAGATGCATCTGCGTGTGGCCCTCTGGGTGCCCTTAGGCCCCAGCCCCCTCCTATTCACTCATCACCCTGGCGCTCCCTGCACCAGCACTCACCTCCACCGCCGCCTCTTCCTGGAGACACACTTTCTGGCCAGCACAGGCACAGTGACCACCAGGGACACGAGCATTCCCAGCAGGATGGCCACCAAGTTGGACGTGTCTGGGAGCCGGGAGGAGAATCAGATGTGGGAAAGGAAGAGGTAGGGCCTCTTCCTGGTCTGCAGTTGCCACCCTAGAGGGACCTTCTTCCCCTAAATCGCGGGTGCTCCCCCCTCCCCACAAGGGTGCTGTCACCCTGGGTCCCCTGAGGTAGCCAGGAGATCACTGCTATCAGGCAGGCCCTCGGTGCTTGCTGGAGATGAGGATTTCTGGGCCCACTCCTGACCCACCCAGTTCCAGCCCTTGGGTAAGTCCTGAAATGTGCAGGTCAGACACTCCCCCCCCCCCCACAACCTGAGGCAGGATAAAGGTGGAGAACCCCTGGCCCAAAAGCTCAAGGGGATTTGAATTTTGGGGGAAAACCAACAGCAAAAGGTGCCCGAAGCACAGAGGGGCACAGGGGGAGTAATGACAGACCCAGGCACGTAGGGCAGCAAAGTGGAGAGCCAGGTTCGGAAAGAAAATTCCAGAACGCGGCACGGGGACTGAGAGAGTCCATCTCTAGGAACCATAACCTGATCCCTCTGGTAACAATACACATAGGGACAGGTGTTCAGCACGGTGGTTGGGACACTTGCATCCTGAGTCGGTGTCTGGGGTCAAGTCCCAGCTCTGCTCCCGATTCCAGCTTCCTGCTTATGTGTACCCCATTCAAGTAATTAGTTGGTCCCTGACCCCCAGTGGGAGACCTGGACTGAGTTCCTGGCTTGCAGCTTCAGTACAGCCTGACTGTTGTGAACCTGCAAAGAGGAGCTATTTTCTGTCTCTCAAAATACATAAAATAAATTCTTAAAATAATGCACATAACACAGGCTGTATTCATCTGTACAGATGTGCCTTGGCTTCTGTTAGGGTTGTGTTTGATAAGGCCCTCATCACTTGAAAATAGAATGGGGGCTGGTGTTGTGACATAAGGGATTAAGCTGCCACCTGCAGTGCCGACATCCTACATGGGTGCCAGTTCATGTCCCGGCTGCTCCACTTATGATCCAGCTCCCTGCTGTGGCCTGGGAAAGCAGTGGAAGAAGGCCCAAGTCCTTGGGCCCCTGCACCCATAGGGGAGACCCAGAAGACGCTCCTGGCTCCTGGATTCGGACTGGCCCAGCTCTGGCCGTTGCAGCCATTTGGGGAGGGAACAAGTGGATGGGAGACCTTTCTGTCTCTCCCTAACTCTGCCTCTCAAATAATATTCAAAAATGAAAAGAAAATAGAAGCTGAAAATGCACTCACTACACTCAAGCTGCCCAGGATCACAGGGTCCCCTCAGCAGTCCTGTGATCAGAGCACTGACACTCGCCTCCAGTCGGGCTGTCATCCCACACACAGCCCGGTTTCCTTATGGGAACCATGAGAGTGCGGCAAGGCAACAACTGGCCTGCTTATCACCAGCCAGGGAAAAGAGCCCAAGTCAAACCCCCTACCACAGTTTCTGCTGAATGCGTGTCACACATATCATCACAATGTCGAAAAATACGAAGTCAAACGACTGTATGTCAGGGATTGTCTGTGTTACATACTACACATTAATAATACATTGTGTCAAGGCTGGCATCCCAAATAGAAGCACTAGTTCAAGTTCTGGCTGCCCTATTTCAGATCCAGATCTAGCTCCCTGCTAATGTGCCTGGGGAGGCAGCAGAAGATGGCCCAAGCACTTGGGGCCCTGCCACCTACTTGGGAGACCAGGATGGAACTCCTGGCTCCAGCCCGTCTCAGCCCTGGCATTTACAGCCATTTGGGAAATGAACCAGTAAATGGAACATCTCTCTCTCCTTCCTTCCATCTCTCTCCCTCTCCCTCCCTTTCATTCCGCATTTCAAATAAATAATGCATCTTTAAAAAAACCTTATAAACAAATTATCACAATAATGTGTAACTGCACTATGTAACATAGCAGCTATCATAATATACGTCATGTTATCCATGTAGAATGATTCTGTGGCAGCTGTCTGTGGGGAAGGCGCCTGGGTGCAACTCTCACCTGGCTTTGGGGGCAATAGGACATCCCGCGGCTCCGTGCAGAGGTGCCCTCCATACCCGGGTTCACATTCGCAGGTGAAGCTGGTCCCCTGCTCCCGACACCGCCCATCATTCTGACAGGGGTTCCGCAGGCACGGGCTTTCTACAAGGATAGAGCGGTCCCTGGGAAAGGCTTGGCTAGGGGCTGGGGGGCTCCAGGAAGGAGAGCAGCAGCTCCCAGTACCCAGCCAGGGCTCAACTACCCTGGCTCCCAATCTTGACCCTGGCGTCTGGGGAAATGATTTAACTTCTCCGAACCCCATTCTGCCTATGATAAACTGGATCCGGGATGGGCTCAACAGGGAGTTGAGGGAACAGCAGGTCCTCCCCATGCAGAGAGCAAGACACTAAGTCTCTGTGTCATAAGGCATAAGAGTCCCAGGTTCGGGGACATCCCAGGGCATGGGGGCAGTTGGGAGCCACACAGGTGTCCAGGCTTACCTCGGAAGCAGCCTCGGGTGAGATTCCCCAGGGTGCAGCTCTCCCCTGGTCTGCAGCTGAATGGCTCGCACAGCAGGACCCCCGAGCTGGCACAGGTACAACGCTGAGAGCAATCCGCAGTCACGAAGCTGTGGCCCAGCTAGAGGGAGAGGGCAAGAGGAGGACCTGTTTCCACCTGGGTCTGGCTCGCCTTGTACCACGGCTGCCCTGAGCCCCCAGCACCCAGCCCGGACCTGGTAGTAGATGCCGTTGCTGGTGCAGCCGCAGTTGGCCAAGGGGAGGCTCTGGGCACCACTGAAGGCATAGCCTGGGAGGCTGGCGCAGCCTTCCACACAGGGGCCCTCACAGTCCCTGGGGGCTGCCAGGTTGGCACAGGACTCTGGACAGGGCGTCATGCAGCTCTGGTACATGGTGTTGGCTGGACACACCATGGCTGAGGGGACAGAGACACAGTCAGGAACTGGCTGGGGGCCAGGCTGGCCGAACGAGTCCGGGGCCTCTGAGGCTGGAGCTGGAGGAGCTGCTGTGGGCAGGGAAGCAGGAGGAGCAGGTGGCTCTGAGGACCTTTACATCTGGGATGTGAGAGCCTCAGAAAGAACTGGGTGAGCAGAGATGAGACGGGGCGCCGCCGTGAACTTGGTAAAAGACAGGGCAGGAACCCCGAGGGGAGCAGGGGCAGGGCCTCACCACAGTGGGTGTGGTCACGCCAGCCGGCCAGGGCAATGCCCGCCTCCTGGCAGGTGATGCTGTAGCCACTGAGCACCTGGCAGCGCAACTCCTCGTGCTCTTTGGGGTCCCGGGAAGCACACAGATCAGACACGCAGTGCCTGGGAGAGAAGGGGGCGGCGGGAGAGGCCGTCAAAGAAGGGGTGTCTCAAGGGGACCCCTGGGGCCCTGCACTGAAAGACATCAGATGGTGTGGGGGGAGGGAAGGCCACCGGGAAGCAAGGCTATGGGGAGGCAGAAGCGAGTCCCGCAGCACTCAGGTCCCAGAGCAGGCAATGGCACCCAGAAAGGCCAGGGCAGGTGCTAGGCCATTCCTGCAAGTCCGGGGCCCTCAACTCACTCCTGGAAGGGCTCTGGGGCCACAGTCTGGTGACACGCAGCAAAGGGGCCCTGTGGGTCGACCAGCACCCTGCAGGCCTGGGTGCTGTTGACGAGTGCCAGCTGCTCCTGGCTGCATTCCGACCTGTAAGAGCCTGTCTCTTTCTCTTTTCCATCTGCCTCCACTTGTAGGGCCCTGGAGCAGAGAAGCCAAGTGGCCAGGTGAGGCCCTGGAGGAAGAACAAGGCCTGGGGAGTAGGGCTAAGGCAGGGCACAGACTGGGATTTCCACTGAGCAGGAGAAAGTGACCAAACGTGAGCAAGGGAGGCCAGGCCTGCCTGCAGAGGACAGGGGCAAGTGGCCAGGACAGACGAGGGGGCTTCTTCCTCCCTACCTGGCCCTCTCACCTGCGGAAGCGGAGCACGGAGTCCTCCGTCTTCACCTCCCAGCTGTTGCCAAAGACGTCTACGTTGGTGGTGATGGCGCCATTGGGCAGCATCATCTCATTTCTCCTGTCCGAGTCATAGTTCCCACACAGGCCGCGCACCAGCCCCTGGTACATGCTGGGCAGCGTGATCACTGCGGGAGGAAGAGGTGCGCCTAGTGGTCCCCCAACTCCTCCAGGCCCCACCCTGGGCCTCAGGGGCCCCATTCCCATGCAAGGGTCCCTCCCCCAGGGTCTGTGCTGTGCTTGTGCCTCCTCCTTTATCCCAGAGATGTCCCTTCTGCGCTCAGGTACCAGCAGCGTTCCTGCCATCGAAGCTGACGACCATCTCGAAGTCGGTGATCAGAAACAGCCGCTGGCCCTGCATGCTGACCCGCAGGCGGTCCTCGGGCTTGTAGGGGACGGCCATCTTCTGGTTGTTCACCTGGACGACGCGGGTGCAGGGCAGCTGGAGCCTCTGCTGCCTCTGCCCACTCACCTCCCCGGGCCGCCACAGGCCTCCCCTGAGGGCAGCTCCTTTGGCGCCCCAGCCTCGTCCTTGCACTGAGCTGGCACAGTGGATACCCCTCAACTTTCTTCAGCCAGGGCTCCAGCCCCACAGGAGTGCTCGTTCTCCTCCCACTCGCTCTTCCCTCGTCTCTCACAGACTTTGCTCGGCCCCATGGCCCACCTCTGCCTCGCCCAGGAAGTGAACTTGGCTCTGCCTCGACTTCTGGGAGGATCCTCCCCCGACACTGGGAACACGGCCTCCCCAGCCCGCCAGGCCCCGGCCGGCCTCTTTCCTACCACAAGCACCAGGTCCCTCTGGAGCTGGACTTTGTAGCCATAGACAGTGGTGATGATTTCCTGCAGGAAGACCTTGTTCCAGGGCGGGTACATCTTGTTGCGCGCCTGCACAAGCAGGCGCTCCACCCCGTCGGGGAGCTCATCCACCGTCTTTATCAGAACGTAGGTCATGCGGCCTCGGAAGCCGAAGCTGAAGCGGTCGAAAGTGCGGTAATGGGGGTCCCCGAAGATTGAGCACTGGTCTGACTCTGCCGAGGAGGACAAACACTGAGGGACCTTGCCAGACACGACAGTCTCTGGATTCCCTCCTGCAGACCTGACCTTCAACCTTCTCCTTCCTCACAGCCCAGTGAAATACCCTAGGTCTCTTTCTTCAGAGGATCGGTTATCCCTCCTGGGGGCTGGTGCTGTGGCACAATGAGTTGAGTTGCCACCTGCAACGCTGGCATCCCTTATCGGCGGAGTGCTGGGTTCAAATCCCAGCTGCTCTGCTTCTGATCCAGCTCCCTGCTAATGTGTGTGGGAAGCAGCAGAAACAGTCACAGGGGCTTAGGTCTCTACCACCCATGGAGAAGACCAGGATGGAGTAACCATTCCTGGCTTTAGCTTGCCCAGCTCTGACTGTAGTCAGAGTGGATGGGAAATCTCTTTTGTCACTTTGCCTTTCAAATGAATAAGATAACCACACTGCTACAGTGCTGCTAGGAGCCACACACAGAGGCCAGGCCTCTCCATTCCAGACACCCACCCCTAAGGCCCTAGTTGGCCTGCCCCTCCTCCTCCTGCCTCGTCTCCCCTCTCCCCAGAGGCGCTCCTTACTTTCAGACACGCAGTTGCTGTTGCCATTGGAGTTGAGCTTGCAGTGGGACCTTGAGGGGCAGTGGAAGGCACGGCACTGAATGCTGCCCTCGGTGCAGGCACACTTCTGGCTGCAGCCGCTGGAGACCCAGCTCTTACCAGACTGTGGAAGCCACCAGAAGAGAAGGGGAGTGAGTGCGTCGAGACCAGGTCTCCCTCATACCACTGTAGCTTAAGCCCACTGTCTGAAACCCCCTTATCAGTGGATTCAGTATCTGCAGCTTCGAGCAAGCCAGCACTGAATATTTGGAAAATGAAATCGTGTCTGCTGGGAACGCGTACAGGCTTTTGTCCTGTCCTTAGGCCCTAAGCTACTGCCACAGCACTCACGTGGTGCAGGGGTGTCAGTCACCAGGTGGTCACATAGCACACTGGGGACACGCACGTCACGTGAACGCTGCACTGCTTTATGCAAGGCACTTGGCCTCGGAGGATAGGGAGTCCTGGGACCATCATCCGGGTGGCTAGTGAGGGACAATGTAACTGCAGGCAGCTACAGCACCACTTGGATCTTTATATCTCTGCATCCCCCTAGAAAAAGCATTTTGCATGTTGCTCAGAAGGCACCACCAGACCCATTTCACAGAGGAAAAACTGAGGTCACAGAGCCACGCAGCGGTGGTCATCCTGAACCAGGTCCTGCTCTTCCTGCTACACGGTGTCCTCCTACATCCTGGACACAAAAACCCTAACTGCACACCCCAGCCAAGACGTGCACACCCAAGAGGCTGAGGAAAAAGCAAGCACCACCCTTCAAGTGTGGCCTGCCCACCCCACAGTGGGTGCCCACTCACAGGGATGGAGCCGCCCTGGGCATCCCTGCAGCTGCACTGGTCCTTGGCCACACACTTGTTCTTGCTCAGCACGTAGCCAGGCTGGCAGGTGCAGCCCTCCGCACAGCTGGAAGGGGCTCTGGCGCCCTCACAGCGGCCATCCGGGTCAAAGCAGGAAGGCGAGCAGGAGGGAAGGCAGTTGGTGTAGGTGCTGTAGGCCGGGCATGCCAGAGCTAGGGGTGGAGGAGGAAGGGGCTCAGCGGAGCTGCCTCAGGGCAGTGGGAACTGGGCTACAGAGGAACGGCCACAGGATGGGGGGTTTTCTTCCTTTTCTCATTCATCTACTTCCACCGGACGGGCCCTGAGGGAAGGAAGAACTAAGAATGGCCCTTCCCAGTTTGCAGCATGGGAGACAGAGGTCAGTGTAACAGTGACCTCCATGAGTACAGGCAGTGGACTGTGACGGGCAGGTGTGCAGGAGGTGTGATGAAAGCACAGGGCGGGGAGGTGCTAACTCTGGGGAGCTGAAGAGAAGGTAGTGGTGAACACATGGAAAGGCACACCGCATTCATGGACAGGACAGGGACACGTCTGGTCTCCCTCAGTTAATTCACACACTTAAGATGATCCTGATAGGACAGGCCAACAGGGCTCTGTATGTGTGTGTGTCTTAATAGGACATCATGATCTCAAGGTCAAGATGGAAACATAAGGAAGCTAGAAAGTTTAGGAAACCTCTAAAAAAGAACAGCTGGGGTCATTGTGGTGCAGGCTACGCTCCACCTGCAACCCCGGCACCCCTTATCAGGACATTGTTTCAACTCCAGGCTACCCTGCTTCCCATCCAGCTCCCTACTAATGTGTGTGGGGAAGCAGCAGATGGTCCGCGTCACCCACATGGGAGACTGGGAGGGAGCTCCAGGGTCTTGGTTGTGGACTACCTCCTACCATTGTCATTGCAGGGAATGACAATCTGGGGAGTGAACCAGGGCATGGAAGAGCTTGTTCTCTCCCTCCCTCCCTCCCTCCCTCCATCATTGTTTCAAATAAATAACATGCATTTTTTTTTCTTAAACAAGAGCAAAGGCTACTCAATCAGAAGCTCTGTGGACAGGGCTCAGCAGGTTATGCTGTCAGAAGCTGAAGTGTGGGGCCTGTTCTTTGATTTAATTACAGATTCAGGAGAAGCAGAGAAAGGGAAAACAAGATACTGCAGAGATTATGAAATCTTCCAAGTAGGAGTTTTTGTGCAATTAATTAGGAGATATATAAGCAAGAATAATGACATTTTTGGAAAGGAGACTACTGGATGAATACAAATATTACTGGATTAATCTGTATGAATTTGTTTCCTAAGTGACAAAACTGAAACAGGTCACACATCATCTGAGAAAGACAGACCCATGTGTGGATACAATGAGAAGACATCAACCCACAGGCAGGAGACGGTCCTCACGGAAACATGAGCATACCAGCACCCTGGCCTTGGACTTCTGTCTCTACAACTCTGAGAGATAAACTTCCGTTTATCATCTGTAATACTCTGTTATGGCATTCTGACCTGACTACAACACCAAGAATTATAAACTATGCACTGGGGAAAGAAACTAAGAATGCCAAGCTCAGAGGCACTGCTTATTGTTTGAATCATAATAGGTTACTTTCTATTGAAATATCTCCTAAGACTGTGAATGCTACTGTAATGATATAAAAGCACCAGTATTATCTTCTAGGCACTACTATTTTATATTTGAATATTATCTATGTTTATAACTTTCTAAAGTAATTAAAAGTTGAGTGGCTAATTAAAGAAAAGAGCAGTGAGTAGTGAAGGTCCCTATCAAAAATTAAAACACACTTTGAGCCATCAATGACTGCAGCGTGTTACACTGCTACCTGCAGATACAGCTGGGCCAAGGGAACAGGCGAGAGGGCTGCAATACAGACCCAATGTATAGCACGCACCACATAACAGAGACTGCATACGTGGGGGTGCCATGATGTCCGATGAGACATAAGTGCTGTTTTCACAGTGATCAAACTGCCTAACTGGGGGACTGCCATTGTAGTGTGGCAGATTAAGCCACTGCTTATGACACTGGGAACCCATATGGGCACCAATTCAAGCCTTAGCTGCTTTACTCCCAAATCCAGCTCCCTGCTAATGGCCTAGGAAAGCAGAAGGTGGTCAACGGCTTGGGCCCCTGCACCCACATGGGAGACCCAGATGAAGCTCCTGGCTCCTGGGCTTGGCCTGGCCCAGCCCCTGGCTTGTTGAGGCCTTTTGGGGAGTGAACGAGCAGGTGGAAGATCTTTCTCTCTGCATCTCTCCCTCTCTGTAACCATCTTTCTAATAAGCAATCCTAATAACGTTTTAAAAAACTGCCCAACAAAGCACCCCTCTACACATAGCCCTGTCACTAAGAGATCAGTGACTGTACAGGAAGTCACTATATGACTGTGGCATGTCCATCAGTGGAAAAAGTCAAAACAGTTCATTAATAATGCAGGAACAACTGACTAGCCCTCTGGAAGAAAACAGAAAAATAAAGTGGATTCCTATGTTATACTACACATCAGGATAAATCACCATGGGATTCTTTTCTAAATATTAAAAAAAAAAATGAAGCCACAAAAATTCTGTGAGAAAAGCACGGGCAAACTGTTTCTTCTGTGGGGACAGTTTCTGTATCTAAAGCTAACATTGCACAAGTCATGAGAAGATGAATATATTTGGCCACATAAAAATATTTTCTTTCCTGCAGAGAAAAAAAAAGATTATCTCCAGATGGAAAATTTAGTGTCATTCAGAAAACTCATAAAGCGCTACTTTCCTATAAAAATAAAATGCTCCTAAATTTTTTTTTTTTATTTGAAAGGCAGACAGACAGAGATCTCCCATCCACTGGTTCACTCCCTAAACGCCTGCAGCAGCAGGGCCTGAGCCAGGCCATAGCCCGGAGCAGGGAGCTCAACCCAGGACTTCCATGTGAGGCGGCAGGGACCCAGCCACTTGAACCATCACCTCCTTCCTTCCCGAGTCAACATTAACAGGAGCCAGAAGCAGAAGCAGAGCCGGATTCAAACACGGGCACTCTGATATGGGATGCGGGTTCCCAAGTGGCATCTTAACCGCTGCACCAAATGCACACCCCTAATATACGCAAACGATCCAGTGGAACATGGTGAACGGATAGCAACAAAGAGCTCACAGAAAGGGAAACTCGCGTGGCTCCTACACGCGGGAAAGAACGTGCATCCTTGCTCATAATAAGGAAAGGGCAAAGATTCTTCTTTGTCCCACTTATCAGGGGACAAAAATCCAGAACCGTGACAGGCACGGTGTTGGCGAGGCTCTGGAGCAATGGGCGTCTCGTGCAGCGCTGGGGAGAACGCGAATTCATCTCACAAAGCATCTGGCAGTCCCCTCGGCAGCACTAACGCACGTGGCTCAGCTCCACAACTCTGTTTCAGCCAGTTACGTCACGGACACAGAAAATCCTATATTCAGAGAAAGCCGCCACCTGGGAAGCCAACATCCCATATGGATGCTGGTTCGAGTCCTGGCTGCTCCACTTCTGATCCAGCTCCAGCAGCAGGAGATGGCCTAAGTGCTTGGCCCCTGGCTTGGCCCCAGCCCCATCCTGAATGTTCTGGCCATTTGGGGAGTGACCCAGTGGACAGAAGAGCTGTCTCTCCCTGCCTAATTTTGCCTTTCAAATAAATAAATGTTTTAAAAAGGAAATAAGAAAATCCATATGTATAAGGTTCTCTGCTGTAGTACTCTCTGTAATAGCTTAGCAAAAACAAAAACAAAAACTACTTAGGATTAAACCAGAAAGTCAAAAGGAGACTAGTTAAAACATTCTGATAAAACAGAATGTTATACAGCTGCAAAAGAGAAGAGGAACTCTTTACCTGTCTGACAAGAAAAGATCTCCAAGAGAGATTCTCAAGTGAAAACCATAAGGGGCAAAATACTGTGTCTAGTCTTGTATTTTATAAGAAAACACTGAGAGGGGCCAATGTTGTGGCTTGGTGGGTTAAGCTGCAGATGGCGGTTTGAGTCCCAGCTGCTCCAGTTCTGATCCAGCTCCCTATTAATGGCCTGAAAAAGCAGTGGAGGATGGCCCAAATGTCTGAGCCCCTGCACCTTCGTGAGAGACCTGGAAGACACTCCAGGCTCCTGGCTTTGGTCTGTCAAAGCCCTAGTCATTGTGGCCATTTGGGGACTGAACCAGTGGATGGAAGATCTTTCTCCTACTAACTCTGCATTTCAAATTATTAAAAGACATTAAAAAAAACTATGGAATGCAAATTTCAGTTTGTTAGAATAGGTGCAAATAAGAGGGCTGTGGCAGGCTTGGAGCTTGCAGGCAGCAGGCGATCACACTGTGACAAAGGAGCGGGCAGGAGGCGGCAAGGGGCTGCAATGCGGGGAGGGGCACTGGTGGAAGTGGCTGGGGGGTGCCCATGGGGGACACTCACGGCAGAAGCTGCTGTTCCTCCAGATAGGGGGCTGGAGCCCCTTGCTCTGGCAGGCGGCCCCCAAGGCTTGCAGGGCCTTGCAGAGAGGCTGAAGGGAGCCTCGGAACTCGCAGAGGCTGTTCATGCAGTCCAGCAGGAAGGGCCTGAGGTCCACACGGGAGGCACACTCGGCCCAGGCGGGTGTCTGCAGGGCTGCCTGGCACTGCTCCTGCACCTTCTGGAGGTCGGCCGGGCTGCAGCTGGCCTTCTTGCTGGACCCGCTTGGCCCCTGCTCCTCCTGGGGTTTTCCTTTCCCTTCCTGGGACTTCTGGCAACTAGGAAGGGACAGAGAGGATTCGTGTGGGGCACCCACTGCCCCACCAGTGGCGATGATGTATCCCTCCCATATGATCTGAGACAGGTCCCAGGGATACCCTGGGCCCCGTTTCTTCAAAGAAAGTCCTGGTCAGAGCTCAGACCAAACTTGCATGCAGCCTCCATCTCCCCCTTCCATGTTTCTTTTATAGTTACTTGAAAGGCAGAGAGACAGAATGAAACAGAGTCCTTCCCCAAGTGCCCCAACAGCCGAGTTGGGCCAGGCCCACTGGGTCTCCCACGGATGAAAGGCATTCAAATACTTGAGCCATCCCCTGCTGCCTCCCAGGGTGTGCTCAAATGGCAAGCAGAGCCAGGACTCCAGCCCATGGGAAGTGGGTGTCCCAAGCGATGGCTTACCTGCCGAGCCAAACACTTGCCCCCTCCCACATTCCTGGAGAAGAAAGGGAGACCTCACATTTCCCTGAGCAACTCCCCTCCCAACCCAAAAGACACACACCAGGAACACTGCAGCCTTACATGGTGTGCCCTACAGTCTAGCTTGCCAGTTCATGTCACTAGCAAACGGTACAGTCTTAGGGGACAATTACTTTGGGTCAATGTTATTATCTTTCCAACTCTTCACAAATTCAAGGTCACTGGCGGCTAGCTCATCGCTGGGCATCATCAGTTCGTCTTCGGGCTCCCCATTGTAGTTCCCGCAGATGCCACAGACCTGGGTGGGCACAGGGGTTGTTTGGTGTTGGGAGGCCTAACAGCGTTTTGCACAGCACCATCTGGAACCCATTAACAGAAAGGCCCACTCCTGAGTTCTCCTCCGTTCTGAGTCTTGGGTGTGGGAGGACGGGGGCGGGGTGGGGGCGCGCCCACAGGCTGCCTCCCCAGGAACAGAGACAGGCGTTCTCCTCGCCTTTTCATAATAGGCTGCAGGGATTGTGATCTTCAAGACGTGATTGCCGTCAAACTTGATCTGGGCTCCGATCCAGAAGCTGACGATGGTGTGGGTGCGGCTGGAGCTGATGTTGAGCCCCCGGATCTGGGAGGTGGCGGGGAGGGCGACCCGGGTACCGTTGATCTGAAGAGGACGGCAGAGCCTGTGAGGACAACGGGGCACCAGGGCCCTCCTCCCTCCCGGGCCGGCCGCCCTGCCCACTCACCAGCACGAGGTTGCCCTTCTGCAGGGTGACCAGGGAGCCAGAGAACTCTATGTAGACCTGGTGAAGGGACACAGCGTTGGTCCCGCCTGCTGACGACTTCTCATTGCTGGCGCTCACCTTGAAGAACGGCAGGTCCATGTTGGGGTGACACACTTTGGCCAGGACGTACGTGCAGGCACCCTGGAGAGGATGGCTGCTGCCATCGAAGCTGAGGTACCGGGAGTCCCCTGTGACCTGGCACACACCCATGCCTGGGAGGGAAGACGGTGCACTGAGGGGCCATCCCGACTCACACGAGAACAGGGCCTCTCAGGAGGGAGTCTGGAGCTGCCCTGGCCTGGACAAGGACAGGGAGCCTTGGGAGGGGAAGAGGACAAGGTTAAGGGGAAGGATCAAGGCCCACGGGTCAGGCTGCAGCTGTGCTGGCCTGAGGCTTGGGCACACGGTGGGTGTGACTCTACCAGGGAGGGAGTCATGCTCTCCCCTCTCAAGTTCAAGGCTGCTCGAGGAGAAGCATGGGTGCTGTGCTTTGAATGTTTGCTCCCCAGGATTTCGTGTGCTGCAAACTTCATCCTCAGCCATAGTATTGGCAAGTGGGGTCTGTGGAGGTGACCGGGTCTTGGGGACTCAGCAGTGGGCTCATTTCTGAACGCATCAGTGGATACATGGGCTATCTAGCGAGTGGGCTGTTAAAACGAGAGCAAGTCAATCAGAGCCCTTCAGAGTGCCCACAACAACAAGGCCCTCACCAAAGCAGCTTTGGCGTGCCCAAGCCTCCAGAATTTAGAGTAGTGCTTTTCTCTTCTTCATAAGTTACCCAGTCTCAGGTATTTTGTGATAGCAACCAAAACACCAAGTCACGGGATAGCGAGGGAGCCCTGAGGCACCCTTCACGGAAGTGGGCGGTCATCTCTCAGGAGCTCCTCAGGACACTGGGGTACAACCTGAACCGAGTACTACGGGCAGCACGGAGATGTGGGCAAGTGGGGACGGCTGGCCTTGGCGCGGGGGCCCTACCCGAGTCCCGGCAGCGCAGAAGCCCGTCCACGGCCCAGCACTGCTGGCCAGGCTTGCAGGCGGTTTGGCGGCAGGTGATGTTGTTGTGCAGGGAGCAGGTGCAGAGCCTGCTGCAGGTGTTGTCTGTGTACCAGCTCTCCCTGACCTGTGTGGCGTGGAGGGGGCAGAGAAGACGGAAACCTGGGAGTTGGAGATGGTCAGAGGTCCCGCCCCCAGCTCACCCTTGGGACTCCAGCCTTACGGGGCTGGCCTGGCTCTCCAGCCTTTCTAAGTTTCTGGTGTCTGGCCCCCAGCCTCACCTGTCCACCCCTTCTCGGCCTCTGAGCCCCTGGGCTACCTGGCTTGCCCAGAACCCTACCCCAAGTGTGGGAGCCGAGAAGGTCAGGATGCCCCCTCCATCGGGCCTCTCACCAGGTGGTAGGAGCCCTCGGAGTCGGTGCAGCCACACTGGTTGAGGGGCACACAGGAGGTTCCGCTCAGGATGTAGCCGTTCTGACATTCGCAGCCCTCCACACAGGGCAGTGTGATGGGGCAGTCCTTCGGGTGGTTCAGGCTGAGGCAGGTGCCTGGGCAGGGACTCCCACAGGGGCTATAACTGCTGTTGGGTGGGCACTTCAGAGCTGAGAAGAACAAGGGGCGTTATGGAGGCCAGAGGGGCCTTCGCAGCTCCCTGACCTCAGGCCTCAAGTGTCCCGGGGCAGGGACTGGCCCTGTGACGGGGCAGGGCAAGTCAATAATATAATCACGTGAGTCACAGCTGCTCCACTTCTGATCCACCTCCCTGTCAATGGCCTGGGAAAGCGGCAGGCAGTGGCCCAAGTGTTTGGACTCCTGTCGCTCATGTGGGACACCCCAGATGGCATTCTAGGATCCTGGCTAGTGCCTGGCCTTGTCTGGCTGTTGTGAACTTGGTTAGTGAATCTCAAAATGAAAGACATCTCTATTTCTTCCCCTCCTTCTGTAACTCTTTCAAATAAACAAATCTTAAAGTAACTCTGGGGCTGTTCAATGGCTAAGGAACAATTGGAACTTTCTCTATCAATGACTAGTCAGGTATCTTGTTTAGCAACAACAAACAGGCTGAAGCCTAGCCTTTCACTGTTCAAAGGAATACTGCTCAGCCGTCAGAAGTGGGAAATTCTGACATGAGTTATGGCACGGATGAACCTTGAGATCATGACGCAGCATGAAGTAAGCCAATCACAAAAGGATGCATCCTGCACGATTCTGTTTCTGTGAGTTGCTTAGGGGAGTCACGTTCACACAGGGAGAAAGTGGAGTCCGGGCTCCCAGGGCTACAGCGCAGGGGCCGGAAGGGAACACTGCATGGCTGCAGAGTTCCAGTTTGCTGAGGGGGACCAGAAGCGACGCCTGTAGGGCAGTGCAAACACTGACTGCCGTGTTCTTCAAAATGAAACAAGTGGCAATCTCCCTGCTACGTGTGTTTGTCACAATAAAAACAAGAGTTTCTGAGGCCAATGCTATGGCACAGTGGGTTATTCACCACCTGTAATGACAGCATCCCACAGGAGTGCTGGTTCAAGTCCCAGCTACTCCATTTGCAATGTGTCTTCTGCTAATGTGCCCAGGAAGACGTCTTCAACTTTTCCCATTAAAATAAATCTTAAAAAAAATAAAATAAAAAACAGAGATTTTTCTGGGCAAGACAGGAAGAAAGACAACAGTTGGCCAAGGTATGAGGAGATGGAAGGAGAAATCAACTAAAGGCAGTTTTCTTAGTAAGTGAGAGTCAGAAGGAAGAGGTTCCAAGGCAGAAGTGGAGACCAGGGCTGGGCCGCACAGAGGCTGCAGGGGAGGATGGAAGATGGGACTTGTGGTTGCCAGCCAGGGCCTGGTTGGGCAGGGCAAAGCAGAGGAGCAGAACTCAGGTCAGAGAGGGGGCAGGGATCCGGGGACTCCAGACTGCAGGAGCAGGTCCTGGGGCACTCACGGCAGAAGGTGTTAGTCCTCCAGGCAATGGCCTGGCCGGCCAGGGAGCAGAGGGATGCGTAGGCCTGCAGAGAGCGGCACAGGGTCAGGCTGTCGCCCTTGGTCCCACACTGGCCATGCACGCAGCTGGTGAAGCTGACCTCTGGGGGCACCACCTTGTGGCACTGAGAGAAGGGCCCTACAGGAGGAGACCAGGCACCCGTGAGACAGCACAACCAGCCCAGGAAGGGGCCACCACCAGCCAGCCTCTCTGGGGCCAATCTGAAATCCACTTGTTCAAAACCTGGCTTCACTCAGAACCTCCTGCCTCAGATTCAAAGACAGACCTAAGGCAGGTGGTGTAGTGCAGCAGGTTAAGCCACTGCACGGACACCCACATCCCATCCCATATATATATATATATATATATATCACAATGCTGAGACAGAGTTTGGCCCAGTTTCCTGCTAATGCACCTGGGGAGCAAGCAGGTGATGGCCCAAGTGCTTGGGCTCCTGCCACCCACATGGGAGTCCTGGCTCCTTGCCTGGCCTGGTTCAGCCCTGGCTATTGCAGGCATTTGGAGAATGAACCAACAGACAGAATATTTCTCTGTGTGTGTCTCAGTCTTTCATACAAAATGAATGAAAATATCTTATTAAAAACAATAAATCGGGGCCAGCACTTTGACCCAGCGGGTTAAAGCCCTGGCCTGAAATGTAGGCATCCCATATGGGCGCTAGTTCCAGTCACAGCTGCTCTCTTCCGATCCAGCTCTCTGCTGTGGCCTGGGAAAGCAGTAGAAGATAGCCCAAGTCCTTGGGTCCCTACACCCACATGGGAGACCTGGAAGAATCTCCTGGCTCCTGGCTTCGGATTGGTTCAGCTCCAACAGTTGTGGCCATCTGCGGAGTGAACCAGTGGATGGAAGATCTGTCTTTCTCTCTGTAACTCTGACTTTCAAATAGAATAAAATAAATATATAAAAAAAAAACAATAAATCATATCATAAAAGGACTGTGCAGTCACAGCTGCTAAAAAGGTGACCTGAGGGCCGGCGCTGTGGTGTAGTGGGTTAACACCCTGGCCTGAAGCACCAGCATCCCATATGGGCACCGGTTCAAGTCCCAGCTGCTCCATTTCCAATCCAGCTCTCTGCTATGGCCTGGGAAAGCAGTATTAGACAGCCCAAGTCCTTGGGGCCCTGCACCTGCGTGGGAGACCTGGAGGAGGCTCCTGGCTCTGGATCGACACAGCTCCGGCCGTTGTGGCCAACTGGGGAGTGAACCAGCAGATGGAAGACCTCTCTCTCTCTCTCTCTCTCTCTCTGCCTCTCCTCTCTGTGTAACTCTGACTTTCAAATAAATAAATAAATCTTTAAAAAAAGAAAAAGGTGACTCGATGGCCCCGTGCTCCCCTTGCCTTCCCTGGGACCTCCCCCTGCCTCTGGCCTTGCTCCTCGGTCTCTGTCACAGGGTGGACAACAGGCAGATGGCGCTGGGCCTTACCCAGGGGGTTCACGAGGACCTCGCAGTTCTTGTTCCATGTGTCTCCCATGTCCTCGTGGCAGCTGGAGGGTTTGCCGCCCTGGAGGAAGCAGCTGTAGGGGGAGAGGAAGCACAGAAACCTAGGAGCCCCTGCACAGAAGCAAACATGGCGAGGGACCGAGGAAGGGTCCCTTCAGGCTCCCCCCAGGAGCAAAGGCCAGGAGGTAAAGCAGGGAGGAAAGAGGCCGGTCTCAGGGGCGACTACCCTGTGGACCTTGTCCAGACGATGCCCAGGCACAGGGGAGAGCAGCAGGCTAGGGTGTGGGTGTACAACAACTCGCTCCCAACGGCAGCCTCAGTGAGAGGAAGTGGGGACATCTGGCCTGCTTCCCGCAAGTCAGGAGATGGCACAGAGGGCCTGGGGACCCCTCCAGGCTGCCCCCAGAGGCCGCGCTGCAGGTCTAGCTCCTCCTGCCTGGCTGCTCCAGCGACTGCTTACCCGGTTTCGGAGCCCTCCTCCAGCTTCCAGGCAGCACCCAGCTGCACGGAGTTCCCAACGGGCCTTTTGTATGGGCCCAGGATGTCATCCAAGCTGTTATTGTTGTAGTTGCCTGCAGGATTGAATGGTCATCAGGGGCCACTTAGGCCACCAGCAGACCCAGCTGGGGCTGCCACCTCTCCTCACTCCTCACTCTTCACCCTGTCAAATCAAACCCTTGCTTCTCCTTCACCTCTACACTCCTGCCTGGTTCCTCAACACAGAATAAGAAGGCCTCAGAATGTTATGGTAAATTGAAGAAAAGCAAAGTTATTTTGATATCAAAACTTTTATTTAATTCATCTGAAAGATAGAGCAAGAGATAACTTCCAGCCACTGGTTCACTCTCCAAATGTCCACAACAACTTAGGTTGGGCAGAGCAACATTAGCAGCCAGGAACATAATCCAGGGCTCTCTTATGGGGTGGCAAGGACCCAAGTATTGCAGCCACCATCTGCTGCCTCCCAGGGTGTGCATTAGCAGGGAGCTGAATCAGCAGCAGAGGCAGGTTTTGAACCTAGGCCCTTCAGTACGGGATTCTGCGTCAAAAGCACCAGCTTAACCTGCTGTGCCTTAAGCCTATCACAAACTTAACTTTTAATTCTATTTCACGTTAACTTTTTAATTAAAATTTTTAAAATAATTTTTAAAAAGATTATTTACTTGAAAGGCAGAGCTCCAGAGAGGCAGAGAGGCAGAGAGATTCCACCTGCTGGTTTATTTCCCAGATGGCCGCAATGGCTAGAGCTGTGCCGATCTGGAGCCAGGAGCTTCTGGGTCTCCCATGTGGGTGCAGGGAACCAAGGACTTCATCCACTTTCTACTGCTTTCTCAGGCAACAGTAGGAAGCTAGATCAGAAGTGGAGCAGCTGGGATTCAAACTGGCGCCCATATGGGATGCTGGCATTACAGGCCGGGGTTTCACTCACTGCACCACAGTGCCGGCCCCCACAGAATTCTTTTAAATGTTGTCTGAGGGGCCAGCACTGTGGCATAGCAGGTGAAGCCATCACCTCGGCATCCCATATGGGCGCCGGTTAGAGTTCCAGCCGCTATACTTCCGATGCAGTTCTCTGCTATGGCCTGGGAAAGCAGAAATGGCCTAAGTCCTTGGGCCCCTGCACCCACGTGAGAGACCCAGAAAGCTCCTGGCTTCGGTCTGGCTCAGCTTGGCTGCTGCAGCCATTTGGGGAGTGAACCAGCAGATGGAAGACCTCTCGTTTTGCCTCTGCCTCTGTGTAGCTCTTTCAAATAAATAAATCTTTTTTAAAAAAGTTGTCTGATTTCATGCTAAATCATTTTTTAATTTATTTTTTTGAGAGGCAGAGTTATAGACAGGAGGAGGGAAGAGACACATAGAAAGAGGTCTTCTATCTGCTGGTTCATTCCCCAAATGGTTGCAACAGCCAAGATGGACCAGACCGAAGCCAGGAGCCAGGAGCTTCGTCTGGTTCTCCCACATGGGTACAGGGGCCCGAGCACTTGGGCCATCTTCCACTGCTATCCCAGGTGGTTAGCAGGGAGCTGCATCACACGGAATTAGACCAGCCAGGACTTGAACCGGTGTGCATAAGGGATGCCGGTGCTATAGGCAGAGGCTTAACCTACTATGCCACAGCACTGGCCCCCTATAAACTTTCTGAAGTACCCTCACATGGGCATTCCTTGGAGATCACTGCAGATTCAGTTCCATACCACTGGGATAAAGCAAGCTGCATGAATATTTTGGTTCCCCAGTGCATGTAAAAGTTAGTCACAGGGGCAGGAACTGTGGCGCAGCAGATTAAGGTTCCATCTACAATGCCAGCACCCAATTTCAGAGCTCAAGTTGGAGTGCCGGCGGCTCAGCTTCTGATCCAGCTACCTACTGATGAGACCAGGAAGGCAACCCACATCATAGACCCAGTTGCAGCCTGGCACAGCTCCAGCCACTGCAGCCATTAGAGAGTGAGCCAGAGGATGGAAGATCAGCTCTCAGTCTCTCCTCACTCTTTGAATAAAATCTTTAAAAAATAATTTACATTTGCACCACACTGTAACATATTAAATATGTGATAGTATTATATCTAAGGAGAAAAAAAGGGACCTATATTAGAATTAAAACAAAAACCTTTCAGTTATACAAAGCTAACAATCATCAAAGCCACTGGGGAATTAGACTTGGTTTGCACAGCACTGTCCAAACCTTCAACTGTAAAAACACAGTATCTGTGAGGCACAATACAACTAGGCGCAGTAAGACAGGGTACACCTGTGATCAGGTGGCAGGCACCTACGACACCCAAGAGAGATGTGTGGTGGCCACGGCACCTGTCCCTTGTCCCGCCTTGCCCAAGGGTGCTGGGGAACTCACCACACAGCCCACAGAGCTGGCCAGCATACGAGGAGGGCACCGTCACTTCTACCAGGTGGTTCCCGTCATAGCGGACACGAAGCCCAAAGTTAGTGTAGAGGAGCATGAAGTTGCCACTGGGCCTAACGGTCACCTGGCCCCGGGAGGGCCACACGGGTAAGGCCACCCGACGGCCATTCAGCTGCAGAGGCCAGGAGGACACAGTCAGGGGAGTCAGGAAGGAACACGGGACAAAGACAACACGGGTGTGTCGGGAGGAAGGGGTCTCAGGAGGAGGGGCTGCAGGGTACCACCAGGGCTCTGAGGAGCCAGACAGGTAGATACAAGGGCAAGGACCAAAGAGGGACTGCGCAGGCCACCTGCTGTGGGGCTGGAAGGTGGGCGGTGGGGTGGGGGTGGGGGTGGGGAGGCACGCACCACGACCTTGTGGCCTTTGACAAGCGAGATTTTGAGGCTGAAGACCTGCACGTGGACAGCTCGGACGTAGGAGACCTCCAAGTTGCCATCGCGGATCTCGTTGGTGGCACTCACGACAAAGGAGTTCTCCTGGGGCCTGTGCCTGCAAGGCTGGGTCAGGACGTAGTTGCAGGTGCCCATGAAGTGGTGCAGGGCTCCATCGAAGGTCAGGTAGTGGGGGTCCCCTGAGGCACTGCAGGTGGCACTTCCTGCAGAGGAGACACCGGGGCTTGGAGCCTCATGGGGCCTCTTGGCGAGTCCGCGTTGGGATGGGACCTGCAGCCCACCACCAGAGGCCATATTCCTCTGGGAAGTGTCGGCTTGCCCTGGGGATGTCAAAGATTCAGATGACCCTGCCCTGCTGGTCTCTCCAAGTTCTGAGGGTGCTGCCCGGGCCCTGGGCCACGGTCTCACAGCCCCGGCTCCCAGGGGAAGCTGCTTGGGCAGGGCCATTGCCTTGCTTGAGGATGCCCAGGACTCTCGCTCAGCTCCCCCCTTCCCACCCTGACCTCTCACCTTGCGAGTGGCACCCATAGATGCCACTTTGCTGGCTACAGACCTCATGGGGTCCACACTTCCAGGGCTGGCAGCGAATCTGGTTGCTGCCTTCACAGATGCAGAGCTGTTTGCAGTCTGACTTGAACCACTGCTCCCCTACCTGGCGGGAGGAAGAGGTGAGTGGTTTCTTCCAGGTCTAACACAAGAGCTCATGGGGACTGGGACCACTGGTCCACTCATGGGGAGGCCTCCTGAGTTCCACAGGCTCCGTGCTCAGCTCAGAAACCCAGCATTGGTTCCCTGGTTATCACTCCCATCACTCTTTTTTTTTTTTTTTTTTTTTTGAGACAGGTGAGTGGACAGTGAGAGAGAGAGAGAGACAGAGAAAGGTCTTCCTTTACCGTTGGTTCACCCTCTAATGGCCACTGTGGCTGGTGCACCGTGCTGATCCGAAGCCAGTAGCCAGGTACTTCTCCTGGTCTCCCATGCGGGTGCAGGGCCCAAGCACTTGGGCCATCGTCCACTGCACTCCCGGGCCACAGCAGAGAGCTGGACTGGAAGAGGAGCGACTGGGACAGAATCCGGCACCCCGACTGGGACTAGAACCCTGGGTCCAGCACCGCAGGTGGAGGATTAGTCTATTGAGCCGCAGCACCAGCCTCCATCACTCATTTGTTAAAAGCATTTCTGCAGATTATTTATCTGTGTGTATCATGCTGGGTCTAAGTGATTCAGTGATGAACTTGATCAACAATGTGTCAGTCCTAACAGAATTGCAATCCAGTGGGAATTGGGAGCCATAAACAAGGAAGATAAATCTCATAGATAAAATAAAACTAACCAGGGCAGGAGTTGTGGCATAGCAGATTCAGCCATCGCCTCACAGGCTGGCATCCCATATGGGTGCCAATTAAGTCCTGCATGCTCCCCCTTGATCCAGCTCCCAGCTAATGTGCCTGGGAGAGCAGTGGAAAATGACCCAAGTATTTGGGCTCCTGCACCTACATGGGCATCCCAGAAGAATTTCCTGGCTCCTGGCTTCCATCTGTCCTAGCTCTGGTTGTTGTGGCCATTTGAGGAGTGAACCAGCAGATGGAAGTACTCTTGCTCTCTCTCCTATCCTCCCCTTCTCTTTTTAAATACTCACAAAATAAATAAATCTAATCAAATAAATAATGCTCCATCTGGACATACACTCAAATGAGACAGTCAGGGCACCCAGCCACAGTACCCACACATGGATACATGGGACAGGTTTTGTTGCAAGATAGTCAAGAGACACTTTCTAAGACTGTCATCAGGAAGGCTGCCAGGGCATTTCTACCAGGCATCCAGTGAGGTAAAGCAGTCCAGTGGGCACAGGTGGCTGGAGGGCAGGATAAGGTGCGAGAAAGGGAGTAGGAGGGGAAAAAAAAAAAGAGGCTGGGGCAAGGCACCAGCATCCAGCAGCCCCGCCTCACAGAGGGGCTGCAGGGAGGAAGGCCAAGGGGAGGTCAGCTGCTGGGGGGCTTTCCTGGGCCCTGTGTCATTCCCAGGCCTCAGGTGAGGGCTGGGCAACACAGGAAGAAAACACTACCGCAGACAAGTTCTGGCTCCAGTGACACTGGGGAGACTGATGACAGGGGCCAAGGAAGGGCAGGGTCACCAAGCAAGAGAACCATGCTGGGCAACAGCACAAGTGGGGCACAGAAACACTCAGTCCTCAAGGAGTGCTAAGTATGAGCAAATTGATTCCGCAAATAAACAGGTGAGGGAGGCAGCTGGAGACCAGGAGGGGGCCCTCGCACTGTGGTGTAGCTGAAAGAGCCACCGCCTGCAACACCAGCATCCCAGATGGGCAGAAGATCAGGTGCAGCTGCTCCACTTCTGAGCCAGCTCCCTGCTAATGGCCTGGGGAAGGCAGCAGAAGGCCCGAGTGTTTGGGCCGTACCACACATGTGAGAAACCTGGATAGCTCCAGGCTTCTGGCTTCCACCTGGCCCAGTGCTGGCTGTTGAAGCCACCTTAGGAGTGAATCAGATCTTTGTCTCCCCCTTATGAGAGTTTCAATATATAAATAATATCTTAAAAAAAAAAAAAGGAAAATAGGCCAGCACCGCAGCTCAACAGGCTAATCCTCCGCCTAGCGGCACCGGCACACCAGATTCTAGTCCCGGTCAGGGCGCCGGATTCTTTCCCGGTTGCCCCTCTTCCAGGCCAGCTCTCTGCTGTAGCCCGGGAGTGCAGTGGAGGATGGCCCAAGTACCTGGGCCCTGCACCCCATGGTAGACCAGGAGAAGCACCTGGCTTCAGCCTTCAGATCAGTGCGGTCCACCGGCCACAGCGCGCCAGCTGTGGCGGCCATTGGAGGGTGAACCAAGGGCAAAAGGAAGACCTTTCTCTCTGTCTCTCTCTCTATCCACTCTGCCTGTCAAAAAAAAAAAAAAAAAAAAAAGGCCGGCGCCGCGGCTCACTAGGCTAATCCTCCGCCTAGCGGCGCCGGCACACCGGATTCTAGTCCCGGTCGGGGCGCCGGATTCTGTCCCGGTTGCCCCTCTTCCAGGCCAGCCCTCTGCTGTGGCCAGGGAGTGCAGTGGAGGATGGCCCAGGTGCTTGGGCCCTGCACCCCATGGGAGACCAGGAAAAGCACCTGGCTCCTGGCTCCTGCCATCGGATCAGCGCGGTGCGCCGGCCGCGGCGGCCATTGGAGGGTGAACCAACGGCAAAGGAAGACCTTTCTCTCTGTCTCTCTCTCTCACTGTCCACTCTGCCTGTCAAAAAAAAAAAAAAAAAAGACAGAACCGGGGTCTTGCTCTGCAAGGCAGTGCTGTGCTACGACCCCAACCCAATCTGCAAGAAACAGCCAGAGCCGAGGCCACAGAAAGGAGTCAGATCCCAGCCCCAAACCACACTGCCTTTCACCCCGGCCCAGGCTGGCACTGGCCTGGGGAAAGGACTTTGTCCTTTGTGGCCCAGGCGCACTGCTCACCTTGAAGTAGCCCCTCGAGGGGTCGAGACACCCACACTGGGCCGAGGGCACACACTCCAGGCCGCTGAGGATGAAGCCAGGGTTGCATTCGCAGCCTTCCAGGCACTGTTCTGGGCAGGACATGCCCACGTACCCCGTGTGGCAGGTTTTGGGGCACGGCGAGGTGCACAGGGAGTATCTGCTGTTGGGCGGGCAGGCCAGGGCTGTGGAGCAGTAGAGGGTGCCTGAGGCAGCAGCCACCAACAGGGGGCGCATGCGCACAGACCCCGCTGGAAGCCCAGCTCAATTTCCAGGAGAGCAAGCGGCTTCAGAAGCTGGGACCCACGGGACACCACTGCAGAGACACACCCCGGGCAGGCAGGCAGGCAGGCAGGGGCAGGCTGACCCAGGGGCTACCTCAGCTCTGAAGCAGCTTCCTCAGCAACCCGGGCCAGCCCAGGGCCTGTGAGGCGGCCAGGAGGCCTCACCTGCTGGTCTGCATTATAAGCACGCCCCATGTGGCCTCCGGTGGCTAGAACCCGTCCAGGTTAACAAACAGCAGCTGTCTTCAGTGAGGTCTGTGCCTGCTACAGGTATGCCCCAAGCCTGGGCAGCCCTCACCTGCCTCTGGAGGAGGGGGCCCCCGCTTCCTCTCCCCTGCCTCAGGGCGCAACTCACGACAGAACTGGGGCTCCCTCCAAGGCTTCACGGCATAGCCAGCGTCCTGGCAGGCGGCGGTCACAGCCGACATGTGGGCGCACAGCATCAGCTGCAGGCCCTGGAAGTTGCACGTGTCGAACACACAGTTGTCAAAGAAGGACGAGGCCTTCAGGTGGAGCAGGCAAGTCCTGAGGACCGAGGCCACGGTCAGAGGGCAGGGGGCAGAGGGCTCCCCCTCACCCCTGCCGGGAGGCCCCCCCAGTCTCAGGGGGCCCAGCCTGCCCTCCTACTCGAACACTCCGCGCGAGTCCATAAGCTGGCCACAGAACTGGGGCCCGGACATCTTTGTCTGCAGGGCCGTGTCACAGGACGGGGGGTTTGCCTGGTTCTTCTGGCACCTGGAAGAGGCCAAACAAGTCCCCTCAGGGCCACGCCTCCTTCCTGTTCAGGCCAGCAGCACAGGGGCCACCCCCAGAGGACAGAGAACCTCAGGGCCAAAAGGACTGGAGGACTGGGAAGCTTCCGGGTGTCAAAGAGAAAGGGGCGGCCGGCACAGGCTTGGGGGCCCTTACTCCTTGTCCTCGTCCTGGGCCCACTGCCAGCTGTTGCCCAGCTCCTCCTCGCTCTGAGCAGGCTGGCCGTCTGCCTTCAGGTTGTCGTTGCTGCTGTGGCCGTCGTAGTTTCCACACAAGCCACACAGCTTTTGGAAGTAGGCGCTGAGGGGACAAAGACAAGGGGAGCGGTGAGCAGGAGGGGGTGCAGGAGGAGGCAGGAGGCGTCTAGGGGCCTGAGACACGCACACAGCCAACATGGGTTCTGCAACAGGAGCCACGCCCTCACCCCACTGGCTAGCAGTAACAAAGCTCCAGCATAGTCTTGCAGGTGCTGGTCTGCACGGGAATTCCACGTTCCCTCCAGAGGGAGACCATGTGGCCACCCTTTGGCGTCTCCAGAGCCCACTGGCGACTCCCAGCATGTTCCCACAGCCTGTGAGTGCAACCTGCTGCCACCACACTGCCCCAAGCCACTGCCTCTGTCCCCGCCCCCACCAGGAGGTCCGCCCCTTGAGCTAGGGGCCTCCTCCCCACCTGGAGAGACATGAATGATTGCACATCTGTGCTGGGCTGGGGAGAAGGGCGTGTCCTGGGGCGAGCAGGGAGAAGTGGCACCTGCCCGGCTGGGTGCCCTCTCACCTGGGCACAGTCACAAGCAGCTGCTGGTCGCCGTCCCACCTGACCCGCAAACCAAAATCCGTCTGCAGCTCCACAAACCGTCCACTCGGACCCAGGAAGACGCCTTTAGCAGGCATTGCTGGGAGGGTGACTCGCTGACCCCCGACCTGGAAAGCGGGGCCAAAGGAAGACACAGCATCAAGGATGACCCCAAAGCCCCCAGCTCCGCGGTATCCCAACAACCTCCTCCACCTTCAGCGGTGTGGCCGCCCCATCACTGCCTCATTTTGGGTCTCTTAGAGGCTCATGGGCTGCAGGCCCTGGCAGGGCGGGTGGGGCAGGGACTCACCAGCGTGCGTCTGCCCTTGAGCAAGGTGACCACAGTCTCGGACAGGGTCACGTCAACCCTGCTCAGGCAGGACATGCCCTCCTGTCCGCGTTCCTCATTCTTCGCCGTCACCCTGAAGAAGGAGTCTGGGTGGGGACAGGGAGGAAGAGAGCGCAGCATTTCTGAGCACCCGCCATGGGCAGTGCCCCGAGACTGGCACTGTGGCAATCAAGGCCTCAGAGGCGGGGGCCCAGCAGGTGAGGAGGCCTTGGGCGGGAGCAGGGCATGTGTGCCCTCCTCCAGAGCAGCCAGTCACTGCCCTGGGTCTAGCTGCCTTCTGTGGCCTGTCCCTTTTCCAGTGACAGCAAGCCCTTGAAATCCCTGCTTTTGGAGTCGACATCTCAACCCCAGCTTCCAGAAAGCTGATTCTGATAGGCCTCTCTCCCATTGCTTCTTCCAGCCATGTCCTGCCACCCAGGTACCCCCTGCCCAGCAGCTGGGACCCCAACCCTGACGCTGGTGGTGCTGGGCATCTCTGGGACCTTGTTACCTGTCGACTTGCTGCAGGGTTGGGCCACGATGTAGGTGCATTTGCCCATGAAGCCAAAGTGTCTCCCATCAAAGGTGACATAGTGAGGGTCTCCGTAGACAAAGCAGGTGGCCGTACCTGCCGAGAATGGAAGGGTACATTGGATGCTGCCTCCACCGGCCCACCAGGCTGGGACCCACATCCCAGTGTGCCCCTGATGGCTCCCCACCTGCTCTTCTCCAGAAAGGGGTAGGGGTTCAGGGGTCACACTAGCTGGGTATTGGCTTGTTGCCAGGGCTAGCACGTGGGAGGCTCTCACCATAGGGCTGGCATTCGTACTGGCCATTCTTCAGCTGGCATTTGGTGTGTGTTTTGCACTGGGAGATCTGGCACTCAATCCGACCACCTGGCCAGCAGTGGCAAAGCTCCGTGCAGTTGGGGCTGAACCACTCTGCCTCAGGCTGGGAGCAAGGGATCTGGAGTCACAACCCCATGGCTTCTGGGGCCCTTCTCCCTTCTCCCCTGTGGCTTTGTTCATACTTCCTCTTCCCACCCACCCAGAACATTGATGTGTGCTGCTATCTCATCCCAGAATGCTCTTCCCTCCCCTCTCTAAATCACTCCCACGGAGCCAGCAGAGCTCAGTGCGAGGGTGATCTTCACAGGCCTTGCTGGCTAGGGACTGCATGGCTTCCTTCCTGGGACTCACCATGGTGGTACTTATTTAATCTTACGTATTTATGGGGTATTAGTTCCATAAACGTGTTCAATGTGTGATGATCAAATCAAGTTTAGTACATCTTTCTACTTATTTTTTTTTAAGATTTATTTATTTATTTCAGAGGTAGAGTTACAGAGAGAGAGAGAGAGGAAGGTCTTCTTTCCATTAGTTCATCCCCTAAATGGCCGCTATGGCTGGCGCACCACACTGATCCGAAGCCAGGAGCCAGGTGCTTCTTCCTGGTCTCCCATGCGGGTGCAGGGACCCAAGCACTTGGGCCATCCTCCACTGCCTTCCCGGGCCACAGCAGAGAGCTGGCCTGGAAGAGGGGCAGCCGGGACAGAATCCGGTGCCCATATGGGATGCCGGCGCTGCAGGCAGACGATTAGCCAAGTGAGCCATGGCACCGGGCCCTCTACTTATTTTTTAAACTTTGTATTAATGCAGTAATTGAACCCACTTATAGGGTACAGTGATATTTCAATACACATATAAAATGTGATTTAACATTTTCCTCTCCTAGTCATTGTTTATATTTTAAAGTGATTTCTTTGAGAGAGAGAGAGAGATCTTCCATGGCTAGTTTACCACCCAAATGCTCATAGCAGCCGGGACTGGGCCTTGCTGAAGCTGGGTCAGGTCTCAGTCAGGTCTCCCATGTGTGTGGTAGGGACTCAGCAGCTTCAGCCATCACCTGCTGCCTCCCAGGGTGCACATTAGCAGGAAGCTGGAATCAGAAGCGGAGCTGGGGCTTGAACCCAGGCACTCAGATATGGGATGTGGGCTTCCCAAGCAGCATCTTAACCACTGCACCAAACTCCCATCCTTGTCCTAACTGTGTTATGTTTATTTATTTATTTATTTATTTATTTTTTTTTTTTGACAGGCAGAGTGGACAGTGAGAGAGAGAGACAGAGAGAAAGGTCTTCCTTTGCCGTTGGTTTACCCTCCAATGGCCGCCGCGGCCGGCGCGCTGCGGCCAGCGCACCGCGCTGATCCGATGGCAGGAGCCAGGAGCCAGGTGCTTTTCCTGGTCTCCCATGGGGTGCAGGGCCCAAGCACCTGGGCCATCCTCCACTGCACTCCCTGGCCACAGCAGAGGGCTGGCCTGGAAGAGGGGCAACCGGGACAGAATCCGGCGCCCCAACTGGGACTAGAACCCGGTGTGCCGGCGCCGCTAGGCGGAGGATTAGCCTAGTGAGCCGCGGCGCCGGCCTATTTATTTATTTTTGACAGGCAGAGTGGACAGTGAGAGAGAGAGACAGAGAGAAAGGTCTTCCTTTGCCATTGGTTCACCCTCCAATGGCCACCGCGGCTGGCGCGCTGCAGCCGCCGCACCGCGCTGATCTAAAGCCAGGAGCCAGGTGCTTCTCCTGGTCTCCCATGGGGTGCAGGGCCCAAGTACTTGGACCATCCTCCACTGCACTCCCTGGCCACAGCGGAGAGCTGGCCTGGAAGAGGGGCAACCGGGACAGAATCCTGGGACTAGAACCTGGTGTGCCGGCGCCGCTAGGCGAAGGATTAGCCTGCTGAGCCGCGGCGCCGGCTGTTATGTTTATTTTTGATTGACTGCAAGCACCCCAGGTGAGGGACCATGTCTGTCTTTACTCACCCGCTTGACCCCAACATGTCACAGCAGAGAGCTCTCATTCAATAAATATTTGCTGAATGACAGAGTCAGGAGAGCCCCAGTGTGTCACTCTGAATCTGAAAACCTAAGAGGGCGAGGACCATGCCCTAACCATGGTGACTCCAGGGACCCAATGCCAGGCAGGCAGAATGTACTAACTACAGGTTTGCTGAGCGCATCCATGAGTTCACAGTAAGTTAATCTGCACCTCTCCGGGCAGATAAAAGAGATCCTCGACGCTCATGGTTGTGATGCTTCTTTCCACCCAGGCTGTGGCTGAAGTTAATCCCGACCCTGACTCCGGGAGACCCCAGACATTGGTTAAAGGGGATTTGGGGAGGAAATGGTCCAAGTAGGGACAGTAGGAACCCTGACACCAGTGCGAAGAACCCCTGGAGCTGGAAAGAAACACAGGGCTCCAATGAATAGTTTAATGCACCTTTAATTAATAGGTTGCCTGTGATATTTCTCCTAAGTCACTATTAGGAACAATTAACATGTATTAAGTAATTTGTATGGTGCGGGATATAATTTCATCCTTACACCAATCTTACATAAGGTAGGAAGTCTTACTGGGCATAGACACAGAAATAGACTCAAAGAGGCAAACACTTGCCCGAGGTCACCCAGCAAATGAGGCTTGGGCTCAGGATTCATGTTCAGTCCTGCCTGACATTAGATGGCCACCAGCCACATGTGGCTCTGGGAAGTGCGGCCAGTCCAGGCTGACTGATGCTGTCAGCATAAGGTGAGCACTGGAATTTGAAGACATAAGATGGAGAGAAAAGCAATAATGCAAACACTCTCATAGTAATTCTTTGATTATACACTGAAATGATAGCTGAGATTGCATACTGCCAACCCTCTGTATCCAAAGGGTCAGCATTTGCAAGTTCAACTAACTATGGATTGAGAATACTTAGGGAAAAAAATCACTTTCTGTACTGAATCTGCACTTATTGCTTTTCTCCTGGGGCCAGCACAGGGGGCTCAGCACAGGGGGCCTGCAATGCTGGCCTCCCATATCAGAAAGCCAGGTTCACGTACTGGCTGCTCTGTTTCTGTCCCAGCTCCAGGCTGATGAGCCTTGGAAAGCAGCAGCAGATGGGCCTGAATACTTGGGCCCCTGACACCCACATGGGAGACCCAGACAGAGTTCTGGGATCCTGACTTTGGCCTGGCTCAGCCCCGGGGGTTGTGACCATTTGGGGAGTGAACCAGCAGATGGAAGATCTTTTTATCATTTAAATAAGGGACTTGAGCATCCACAGAATTTGGTATCCAAAGGAGGATCCTGGAACCCACACCTCACAGATTCCAAGGAACAACAGCAGGTATTGGGGAGCAGTCACGTGGTGCTTCCTTTAATGACAGGTAAGTTCCAGGAGAGGCATTGGTGAGTGAGTTTAGTCCTCCTGTAAGATAGCTATGATGCCACTGGGCAATATAATGGCATGGGACCATGGTCATTTACATAGCTTGCCTCATCAGACATTGTTTCAGTGATGTGTAACTGTAATTTAACCTGTTTCTTTGTGTTTTTTTTTTTTTTAAGATTTATTTATTTATTTGAAAGGCAGAGTTAGAGAAGGAGAGACAAAGATCTTCCATCCACTGGTTCACTCCCTGAATGGCTACAACAGCCAGAGCTGGCCTGATCCAAAGCCAGGAGCTATAAGCTTCTTCTGGGTCTACCACATGGTGGAGCCCAGACACTTGGACCACCCTCAGCTGCCTTCCCAGGTGCATTAGCAGGGAGCTGGATCAGAAGTGGAGCAGCTGGGTCTTGAACTGGCACCCGGATGGGATGTTGGCGCCACAGGTGGCAGCTTTACCTACTACACCACAGTGCTGGTCTTTTTTTTTTTTTTTTTTTTGACAGGCAGAGTGGACAGTGAGAGAGAGAGAGACAGAGAGAAAGGTCTTCCTTTGCCGTTGGTTCACCCTCCAATGGCCGCCGCGGCCGGCGCACTGCGGCCGGCGCACCGCGCTGATCCGATGGCAGGAGCCAGGAGCCAGGTGCTTTTCCTGGTCTCCCATGGGGTGCAGGGCCCAAGCACCTGGGCCATCCTCCACTGCACTCCCTGGCCACAGCAGAGGGCTGGCCTGGAAGAGGGGCAACCGGGACAGAATCCGGCGCCCCGACCGGGACTAGAACCCGGTGTGCCGGCGCCGCTAGGCGGAGGATTAGCCTAGTGAGCCGCGGCGCCGGCCCACAGTGCTGGTCTTAATACTGGTTTTTAAACCCAGCTGTTGGGAAGGCACAATGACATGCGTGCTTGCTCTACCACTGTCACAGATGGTGCTGACCCAGAGCCTGTATCCTTCATAGCCTCAGCTCTGTGCAATTTCCCCAGGGGACTTTCAATTAAGGGTGGCAAGGACAGTAACTTTTTTTTTTTTAACCAAAAAAATGCCTTCTTTTTTAGTCTTCAAAAAACCTCTTTTCTTTTTCCAAAACCATCACAATCAACTTATAAGAATGGGCATGAAACGTATCTTCAAAGCATTTCTCTTTCACAGGGAACTTAGCCTTATAAGATCTAAACATTAAAAAGTAATAAAGCAAAAATTCTGGGATCTGGACTGCGGCTTGGGGGGTTAAGCCGCCACTTACAATGCTAGCATCCCATACAAGTGATGAGGTTTTTTTGTTTGTTTGCTTTGTTTGTTGTTTTTTTATTTATTTATTTATTTTTTGACAGGCAGAGTGGACAGTGAGAGAGACAGAGAGAAAGGTCTTCCTTTGCCGTTGGTTTATCCTACAATGGCCACCACGGCCAGTGTGCTGCGGCTGGCACATCACGCTGATCCGATGGCAAGAGCCAAGTGCTTCTCCTGGTCTCCCATGGGGTGCAGGGCCCAAGCACCTGGGCCATCCTCCACTGCACTCCTGGGCCATAGCAGAGAGCTGGCCTGGACGAGGGGCAACCAGGACAGAGTCCAGTGCCCCAACCGGGACTAGAACCCGGTGTGCCGGTGCCGCAGGCGGAGGATTAGCCTAGTGAGCCGCGGCGCCGGCCACAGTGCTCGTTTGAGTCCCAGCTGCTCCGCTTCAATTCAGCTCCCTGGGTAATGCACCTGCAAAAGCAGCAGAAGATGGCCCAAGTGCCTGTGCCCCTACTCACCCATGTGGGAGACCTAGATGAATTTCCAGGCTCCTGGATTCAGCCTGGCCCAGCCCAGGCCATTGTGGCCATTTAGGGAGTAAATAAGCAGATGGGGAAGCTCTCTCTATATATAACTCTGCCTTTCAAATAAATAAGCAAATCTTTTTTAAAAAAAAAAAGCATCTAGCATAAGTCAAGGAAATCCACTCATACTTTAGGCCCTTCTCCAAGCACCAGCACTGTTAACATAATTTCCATTTAAGAAAAATCCGATTCAACTGATCCTTCTTCCTTGTAGCGTCATTTCAAACTCAGTGACATCTTCCAATACCACAGTGACACAGCTCTCAAATCCCAGAAGAATACTAGCAATTTCCCTATCGCTCTTCATCACAAAGTGAATTCCTGACCCTCTACATTCACCCACAAGCTCTAAGGCAGCAGCTGCAACAGGTTAGGAGCAGCAGTAGCTGCCGTAACTGCCATGGCTGCAACGGAAGTGGCCTGTGTCCATCAACATTAGTACTTCTCTCTTTCTAACCCATCGGAACATGCAAGTTCCTTTGGTGGGAGAGAATGACAGAGGTAGCAGGACTGGAAGAAGGACTCAGCACAGGATGGTGCAGTGACTCACGGCTTTTGGGCCCATCCCAGCATCCTGGTGGAACGAGACTCAGGGTAGGAGCAGGAAGGGTCAACACCACGGGCGGAATGAATGACTCTCCCATGGCATGACCACTGCTTTGAGCTGACCCCTTGGGATGGTGCCACAGATCCAGAGTCACCTCCCCTGGGGAACAGAGCAGAACCCAGACGTCCTGGTGGTCCTACCTCGTAGTTGTTGTTGTTGTACAAGCAAGGGCAGGAAGAGGCTTTGATGCAGCTGTTGTTGCTAAACACGAGCCCGGGATCGCAGACGCAGCCTGGCTGGCAGGGTGGCTTGCAGCTGGCCTTGGGATGCTTGCAGGATGCAGGGCAGGCACAGGACTCATAGTGGGCATTTGCAGGGCAGCTCACTGCAGAGGAGACACAGCCTGCATCAAGACTCCCCCCCACAGCTTCCCTCGCGGGGGCCTCCTGTCTCTCCTCTACTCCCAAACTCAAGTTCTCTAAGAACAAGGCCTATGTTACTCAGCCTGGAGAAGAACAAAGGTCTGATGCACACAGCAGCCGGCATCAGCCATGAAGAGAGCTGTCAGAGAGCCAGCCCAAAGGCCTACATGGGACATGCTGCACGTCCACAAAATGTCCAGGATAGGCCAATCGGTGGCTGTAGAGAGGTTAGTGGTCACCAGAGGCTGGGAAGCAGGGAGAATGGGGAGTGACTGCGAGTGAGCGTGGGGTTTCGAGGGTGATGGAAATATCTGGAATTAGAAAGTGACGGTTGCACAACCTTGAGAACATATTTGAACCCATTGGGTAACAGAGCTCAATAAACACAAGACTCCTAACAGCACCCACCCGCTCTTGCTGTCCAATGTCACCATGGCTGTTCATCTTGATGCTAGGAATGCAGGTTTTCTTCCAGAAGCTTCCCTCTCCCTGACTCTCCTAGTTTCTGTCTCTCACGTGGGGCTCTTTGGCCAACGCGGCACCCACCTCTTACCTGTGGTGGGACTGGGAGTGGTGGTGGTGCTCAGGGTCGTACTGGTTAGAGAGGTGCTTGGGGTGTGTGTGGTTGGTTCAAGGGATGTGAGGGTGGAGCGGGCTGTTGTAGGGGGTGTGGTCTCTTCAGTGGGGACAGTGGGCTTTTCTGTGGCAACAGTGGGCTCTTCCGTGGGGACAGTGGGTGGTTCTGTGGCAACAGTGGGCTTTTCTGTGGGGACAGTGGGTGGTTCTGTGGGGATGCTGGTCTCTTCTGTGGGGACAGTGGGCTTTTCTGTAAGGACTGTAGGCTTTTCTGTGGGGACAGTGGGTGGTTCTGTGGGGACAGTGGGTGGTTCTGTGGGGACAGTGGGTGGTTCTGTGGGGATGGTGGTCTCTTTAGGGGGCTCAGTGATCTCTTCAGGCAGCTCGGTGGTCTCTTCAGGCAGCTTGGTGGTCCCTTCAGGGAGCTCGATGGTCCCTTCAGGGGGCTCGGTAGTACCTTCAGCGGGGACTGTGGGCTGTTCTGTGGGGATAACTAAAGTTTTGATAGGAATCACTGGTGGCACAGGTACTACAAAGAAAAGAGAAAATTAGTTTAGTCACAATCACAATGCCACATTTTCCCCCACATCTGATGGGAGCAGGTGGGCTCACAGGGGCAACTGACTCACACCTCTCCTACTCCCAATCTCCAACCTCACTTACTTAACCTCCAACAGACACTACTCTTAATACATGGCAGAGAAGCCAGTGTTGTGGCAAAGCAGGTTGGGTTGCCACCTGCAACACCAGCATCCCATATGGGCACTGGTTCTAGTCTCGGCTGCTCCTCCTCTCTGCTAAGGTCTGGGAAAGCAGTAGAAGATGGCCCAAGTGCTTGGGCCCCTGCTTCCCCATGGGAGACCCAGAAGAAGCTCCTTGTTCCTCACTTCATATTGGTCCAGCTCTGGCCATTGTGGCCATTTGAGGAGTGAACCAGCGGAGGGAAGACCTTTCTCTCATCTCTCTCACTGTCTGTAACTATCTCTCAAATAAATACAATATTTTTTAAAGTGAGATTTATTTTATTTATTTGAAAGCGTTATAGAGACAGGGAGAAATGGGACAGGGGGTGTCTTCCATCCGCTGGTTCACTCCCCAAACGGCCACAACAGTCGGAGCTGAGCCAATCCAAAGCCAGGAGCCAGGAGCTTCTTCCAGGTCTCCCACATGGGAGCAGGGGCCCAAGCACTGGGGCCATCCTCCGCTGAATTCCCAGGTGTATTAACAGGAAGCTGGACTGGAAGTAGAGCAGCCGGGGCTCAAATCGGCACCTTTATGGAATGCCGCACGATGCTGCAGACCGGGGCTTTAACCCACTGTGCCACACCACCATCCCCCTAGCTGTTCCGCTTCTGATCCAACTCTCTGCTAATATACCTGGGAAAGCAGCAAAAGATGGCCCAAGTCTTTGGACTCCTGCACCCATGTGGGAGACCCAGATGTAGTTCTGGGCTCCTGGCTTCAGCCTGACCCAGCTCCAGCTGGTGCTGCCATTTGCAGAGTGAACCAGTAGATAGAAGATCTCTTCGTCTCTCCCTCTCTGTAACTCTGCCTTTCAAATAAATAAGACACTGTTTTGTTTTTGTGACTCCTGCCTTCGGGGTCTCTCAGGAAGGGATCCGGGATCCAGCTACAGAAACCCGTAGCATCAAAGACACATCCACTCAAGCAAGTACCATGATGTGCGGGAGAGGGCAAGGGGGGCAGAGCACAGAAAACCGGCTGGCCAAGGGTGGGATCAGGCATGAGGGGACGTTCAGAGGCAGGCATCTCAGGGCGGGAGACCCCCTGCCTAGGACCTCAGGCTGCATCTTACCGTGGCAGGTCCCATGGTTGATCAAGATGAAACTCATAGCCACAACGAAGGCCGTGTTGCTGCCCCTGATGGCCTCAAAAACCAGCTGAAGGCAAAGAGAAAGAAAAATGAGTCCTAGTTCTAAAAATGCCACCATTTTACAGCCACCACAGTCCTACTTCCTGTTTCCTGCTTCCCTGGGATGCTAAGTTCTCATCTGCTCCACCCCACCTTCCAGCTTCTCAGCCCTGGCTGAGCCCCCGCTGTCTGCACCTCTCACCTGCATGGGCTGTTGATGTCCCGAGGGGATGGTGACAGAGGCATTCAGCCAGTCCGGGCTCTGAGACCCCACACGGTTCCAGAGAGAAACTGGGGTGCTGCCTGCGGGACTCCCCAGCAGGAACTGAAGTGTGGTGCCCTCCCCGAGGCCGTACATGTGGTAACTGAACTCCACACAGACGTCACCCGGGGCACAGAAGGGCCGGCTCACCAGCCGGACGGACTGCCCAGGCCGGGAGAACTTGTCAGCCTCCAGGTAGATGTAGTGGTGCCCTGGACAAGAGAAGCAAAACAGAGAAATGAGAAACCCACACAGGGCAGGCCCACTGCTGCCATGCAAGTGCTTGCTTTCCAGGCGGGGACCTCAGCAGGTGCCCAGACGTCCACACACATCATTGTTTCTGCTCACTTCTGCCGTAGGAAGGCAGGCTTGGGAGCCAGTGTGGGGGAGCAGCAGGCTAAGCCATGGCCTGGGATGTGCCATCCCATATGTATAAGAGGGCCAGTTCAAGTCCTGGCTGCTTTGTGGTTTTTTTTTTTTTTTAATAATTATTTATTTTGAGCCGGCGCCGTGGCTCAATAGGCTAATCCTCCACCTTGCGGCGCCGGCACACCGGGTTCTAGTCCCAGTTGGGGCGCCGGATTCTGTCCCGGTTGCCCCTCTTCCAGGCCAGCTCTCTGCTATGGCCAGGGAGTGCAGTGGAGGATGGCCCAGGTGCTTGGGCCCTGCACCCCATGGGAGACCAGGAAAAGCACCTGGCTCCTGGCTCCTGCCAGGATCAGCGCGGTGCGCCGGCTGCAGCGGCGGCCATTGGAGGGTGAACCAACGGCAAAAGGAAGACCTTTCTCTCTCTGTCTCTCTCTCTCACTGTCCACTCTGCCTGTCAAAAAAAAAAATTATTTATTTTATTTATTTGAAAGACTGAATTACAGATAGAGGTAGAGCCAGAGAGAGAGAGGTTTTCCATTCCACTGGTTCACTCCCCAAATGACCGCAGCAGCCAGAGTTGAGCTGATCCAAAGCCAAGAGCTTCCTCCAGGGGCCCAAGGACTTGGGCCATCTTCTACTGCTTTCCCAGGCCATAGCAGAGAGCTATCAGAAGAGGAGCAGCTGGGACACGAACCGGCGCCCATATGGGATGCCGGTGCTGCAGGCTGGGGCTTTAACACGCTGTGCCACAGCGCTGGCCCTGCTGCTCTGCTTCTGACGCAGCTTCCTGCTAATGTGTGTGAGAAGGCAGTGGACGATAACCCAAGTATTTGGGCCTCTGGCACCCACATGGGAGACCCTGATGGAGTTTCAGGCTCCTGGCTTTAGTCTGGCCCAGCCCTAGCTATTGCAGTCTTTTAGAGAGTGAACCAGGATACAAAAGATCATCACTTTCCTTCTCTGTCTCTCCTTTTCTCTCTCTCTGTAACTGCCTTTCAAGTAAATAAAATAAATATTTAAAAAAGAAAAAAAGGAAGGCTGGATAAGAAAGGGAAAACCATACCAGCAACCCACATTCTGTGAGTGGCTACACCCACATATGTCTTGACCAGAAATGAGATTACGGATGTTTGAAGCCTTGGGCTCAACAAAACAAGGTGCCTGGAATTTTCGGAGGGCTTCCACGATCCCATAGCCATGAGAATCCTCCACTGACTCTACTCCGTCACCTCCATAGCTCTGGCCCCGTGATGATTTCCCAATAAACGCCACCACGTCCAACAGCTCTCCGCACCAACACCACCCTGCTGCCAGTCCCCTAGCCGGGAGCAGGCTCAGTGACGCACTGGCTTGAGGGCCCCTCCGTCTCCTCACCTGTGTGAGGGGACTCTCTCATGAGGCTTCTTTCCTGGGCCAGCATATCTTTATCAGTCCAGGCCCAGCGTCCACCATCCTCAGATGCCTGCAGCCAGTCACAGAAGGGGTGGGCTGCATCTTCAAAGACACACTGGGGAAAGCTCTCTAGGGCATGCAAGTGGGGGATTCAAGAAACTCAAGCTGTGCTCTCCAGGACTCCACCCTCCCACCCACCACCCCCAAGTCCTGGGGGGACCTCCCAGGCCCTGCTCTCACCCCCACAGGGAGCAATGCTGATGGCATCCACCGCCACAGCCGGCTCTGGGACATCTCCAAACACGCCCACCACAGTGAACTGAAGAGCAGGGGAGTGGGCAGCAGTGAGGGGGGAGGTGAGTAAACATCCCAGCTCCCAACTCCCAGACCCCCACAACCTGAATTCGCTCTGCTCTGGGCCCTAGGCCCCCTGCTTCTGGCACCCAGGCCTTCGGTCTATTTCAGCCTCCCAGGCACTCTACCTGTATCTGTCCTGGTCCCGAATAATTGACAGACACAGGCTGCCAGTTGGGGCTGGGCTGCCCGGAGAAGAGGGTGTGTTTCCGGATGCTTCCTACAACGGGAAGAATCAGAGACAGACAGGAGTTTCAGTGCCCTGGGAAATGACTTCAAACCTCTCTCCAGCTCATGACTCGCAGAGAGAATAGTGGGAACTACTCCCCCAAAACGCAAGCGCGTCCCTGCCCCTCGCTCTCCTGGCCTTTTACCTACGCTTCCAGGGGGCTCCCAGCCCCTATCTCCACGCCAAGGAAACATCTTGCGCCCATCCCACAGACCCTGAGGGGTCCACACCAATCCAACCCGGGGGGCAAGGCCAGGAATTCTCTCTAACCCAAGACTGAAGCGAGGACGCTGAGGGCTGCCCCAGGAGACTGGCCCCAGAGGGTGTAGTGGAAGGAGAGGGTCAGGCAGCCGGCCGACTGGCTCAGGGGGCTCAGGAGGACAGATTTCTGCCGCGGCTTTGCGTTCTTGGGGTCCAGGAGCATGTAGAAGCCATCTGGGAAGGAAAAGGCCAGTGAGGTGGGGAGGCTGAATGCGGGCAGTATCGGCAGCAAGGCTAGGGCCCCAGGGAGTGCGGAACCTGGCACTGGGGAGCAACACAGCCTTAGAATCAGGCAGCTCTGGGCCGGCGCCGCGGCTCACTAGGCTAATCCTCTGCCTGCGGCGCCGGCACCGCAGGTTCTAGTCCCGGTTGCTCCTCTTCCAGTCCTCCTTGCTTCACACCAGCATGGTGCTGGCCGTAGCGGCCAACGGAAAGAAGACCTTTCTCTCACTGTCTATAACTCTCTGTCTCTCTCTCTCTCACTAACTCTGCCTGTCAAAATAATAATAATAATAATAATAATAATAATAATAATAATAAATCAGACAGCTCTGAGCCAGGCCCACGCCCGGCCTTGCGCCCTCCCGGAAGTGCCTGGGCACAGTAGCGACAAACGCCGCCACAGGAAGCGCGGGCCGGGCCTTGTCTGCAGAGCAGCAGCCAGACTCTTCCTCCTTCAGGTCCACTTAGAGCCACTGTCGCTTCCTTTTCTTGATCCTCCTCTCCTCCCTCAAAGATACGGCCGTCCGCCCACACGGGTGAGAGAAAGCCGACGCCCGCCCGGTGGCGAAGAACATGGCCGCTGGGTCGAGGGAGCGCGCACGCATGCGTGCTCGTGCCCGGCGACCGCGAGGCGCATGCGCGCTGACAGCTGGGCTAGGGCGTGGAGGCTGCGAGCCCCAGGAGCCAGCCAACAGGGTGGCCGCGTGGGCAGGGACGCGAGTGGGAGACAAATGAGCGGAAATCCCTAGGAAGGAAGGGAATTGGCAGAGAAGGCGAGGAGAGAGTCGGTGGAGAATTCCTGAAGACCTTTCTGGAAGGCACGCCTCAGGAGGGGCAGGGGAGGGGCAGGGGGTCGGGAGTGGACCCCTCGGGAGGAGAGGGAGAGAGAAGATGTGCAGATGAGGAAGGAGAAGGCCAAGACTGAGAAGTGGGAAATGCAGGGGGTTCGGGAGGAGGGAGGAGGCGTGACCCCGGGGGCAGAGCAGGGCAGGGCCCGGCCAGGGAAAGGCAGGAAGGGGCAGGTCTGCTGGGAGGAGCTCCTAGGGTGTGCTTTCTGCGATGACACTTGATCTGCTGGAGGCGTAAGGCTGCGGGCGCTGGCTCCAGAGTGTCCCAAGGCGGTCACTGTAGCCCAGGAAGTGAGAGGAGGGCGGGCTGGCCAGTACTCACTGCCAGGGTTGGAGAAGTCATCCTGAGGCCCCACGCCTGGCTGCCCCGATGACCCCTTCTTCTGGGTCCACTTGGCCCCGGAGGCGGTGGGGACCCAGCTCCAGCCGCAGAGGTCGTTGAGGGTGTCAAAGTTGCACATTTGTGTCACGCAGACTAGAAGAACAAAAGGGAGGGGGCGATGCCTCCATCTGGGGCCGGAATTCTGAGTTCCGGTCTGGGTGCCGTGGTGAGCCGTGGTGGGGCTTGCGAGACAGATCTGCCTTGTGGCTCTGCTCCCAGAATAGATGACTAACGCTGCCTGGGCCTCAGTTTCTCCATCTCTAGATTGGGACCAGCAGGGACCCCCTCACGTGTGCTTGGTGTGCCTAGCCCAGTCCCTGTGTTCATTCCTTTCACCCAGCTTCTGGAATTTTCCTTGCCTTGAATTTGCCACCCTCGCATCTCTAACACCAGCTTAGAGGGCTGATGCTATGTGGACAGGGGAACAGATGAGGACCCACTGACCAGGTTTGCTTGGGACTGAGGGCTTCCTGAGATGGGGATTTTCAGTGTTAAAACTGTGCCAGCCAGGGCCAGCTGGGACAGATGGTCCCTCTAGAACACAACTTCAGGTTCAAAGAGAAACTCAGGGCTGGCGCTGTGGCATAGCGGGTCGGTGCCGGCATCCCATATGAGTGCTGGTTCGAGTCCTGGCTGCTCCACTTTCGATCCAGCTCTCTGCTATGGCCTGGGAAATTAGTAGAGGATGGCCCAAGTCCTAGGGTCCCTGTACTCATGTGGAAGACCTGGAAGAAGCTCCTGGCTCCTGCCTTTGGATCGTGCAGCTCTGGCCATTGGTGGCCATCTAGGGAGTGAACCAGCAGATGGAAGACCTCTCTCTCTCTCTCTCTCTCTGCCTCTCTGTAACTCTGCCTTTCAAATAAATAAATAAATCTTTAAAAATAAATAAATAAATAAGGGAATCTCCCTTGGGGGCCAGCTGCCTCGGGAGTCAAAGTTGTAGGGTTCCATGAAGCCAGCAGGAAGCTCACAGCCCAACTCTGAGACGCAGGAGCCCAGGGCCCTGGGGCCCTCCTGCACCTCGGCAGGTGTGCAGGGGCTGGGAGAGGAGGCAGGACACCTGACTCACTGTGATTGCAGGTGCCCCGGTGGATGGAGAGGGCATCCAGAGCGATGTCCAGGTAGGCGGTGTTGCCCCTGGTCCCCTCGAATATGAGCTGTGGGTCAGAAGTCAAGGGCACCACAGTTCTGTGAGCCCCTCAGCCAGGCCTCCCACCCTTTTGCCTCTGCCTCCTGTTCCTTCCTGTATTCCAGTGGCTCAGCCCCCGCGCCTGCTCCATAGTGCAGCCCCTTCCCGCAGGTCCCCCACCCACCCACCCCAACAAAACCAGGATTCGCGCTGGGGCCCTGGGCTCTGCCCTTGACCTCACCCGGCTGGGCAGGGCGAGCTCCGCGGGCATGGTGACCGCGGTGGGCATCCAGGAGGGGCTCTGGGTGTTCACGTGTTTCCAGAGCACACTGGGGCGTTTGCCCTGGTTGCCGGCCAGCAGCAGCAGCCGCAGCTGTGCGCCCCAGGACAGCCCGAACATGTGGTAGGCGAAGTGTACGCAGAGGGGGCCTTGCTCCCACAGGTCAGGGCTGCGCAGGCGAGCCACCCCGCCCTGGGGGAAGTGGCTGGAATTCATGTGCAGGTAGTAGCCATCTGGGGACGGAAGGGCGGGGACAGATGCTGAGGCCCTGACCTCCCACGCACCCCTTTCTCAAAGCCCAGGTGTCCGCCTCCCCTCTCCCTTCACACAGATGGACCCATGCCCAGCTCCCAGGGGGCCCCTCACCTCCATTGGGGTACCCTCCGGGGGGCCCGGTAGTGCCAGTCAGGGAGGGCCCACTGGCTCGAATCCAGTCCCCGTCGTCTGCAGATACTTGGGACCAGTCACAGAGGGGTTTGGAGTTATCCTCAAAATCACACTGGGTGAGAACAGCTGGGAAGAAAGAGTAGCGGTGAGGGCAGAGGGCAGGCTGCCCTGGGAGAGGGGCATCAGCTCCGAGAAGGCTGCCACTAAGATCTGGGGTCCAGATCTGGGAGGGAGGATTTTAGGGGGAACTCGGCCGGGTACAGGAGCAGAAAGACAAGGTTAGGAGTTGTAGACTGAGACAGGGGCTAGACTTGGCTGCACAGGCAGGCTGTGTCTGCACAGTACGAATTGTGTGGTTTGTAAATTGAATGTGAGTCGGTGGGGCCAGGCTGGCACCCACGGGCTGCCCTTCATGCTCCTGTTGCTGGCGGGGCGTTGCGCCTGGGCTGACCACTCCCGGCCTGGGGACTGGTGCTTGGTGCCAGAGCCGGGTCCTGAGGAGGGGGAGGGAGTCTCACTCACAGTTGCCCCTCGAGCCGTGAGGTATCACCTTCCATTCCAGAGACTTCTGGTTCTGTGCGCTTGGTCTGGAGAAAGGGAAAATGTAGCCATTGTCATCCGCAAGAAGGAGACTCAGGGATGGAGACTTCCTGCAGGGCCCTGCACGGCGCCTTTTCCTTTCTCTCTGTGGCTGTGCTACCCGTGCCCAGGCACCGGATGTGCAGAACCTGCTCTCTTTAAGGTGTTCATAACGCTCGCCCCCTCCCCGCCTTCATAATGCTGCTACCTGCCTCCACACGCTGCGTCACAGGCTTCTGCCCGTTTCCTCAGGGCCTCACCTCTCTCCTCCTCTCCCGGCCTCAGCTCTGTCTCCCATCTCAGCTCTGTCCCACCCTCAGAGCCCCCTCCTCAGTTTCAGGCTCTGAGTGGGCCAATGTGGTGATACAGCATGTTAAGCTCCCACCTGGGACATCTGCGTCTCATACCGGCGTGCCTGAGGTCCAGTTCTGCCTTAGCGTCCACCCGGCTGCCCACTAACGCACACCCTGAGAGGCAGCAGGTGGTGGCTCAAGTGCCTGCATCCCTACCACCACCACATAAGAGACCCAGATGGAGCTCCAGGCTCCTGGCTTCAGCCTGGCCCAGCTCTGGCTATTGTGGGCATTTGGGGAGTGAACCAACAGATGGAAAATCTCTTTCTCTCCTCTGTGTCTTTATATATATCTATCTCTCTGCCTTTCAAATGAATATAAATAAAACTTTAAAGGGGGGGGGGGTCCTGGCATTGTGGTATAGCGGGTAAAGCTGCCACCTGCATCCCATATGGGTGCCGGTTCGAAACCTAGCTGTTCCTCTTCCTATCCAGCTCTCTGCTGTGGCCTGGGAAAGCAGTAGAAGATGGCCCAAGTCCTTGGTTCCCTGCACCTGAGTGGGAGACCCAGAAGAAGCTCCTGGTTCCTGGCTTCGGATCAGCCCAGCTCTGGCCGTTGTGGCCATCTGAGGAGTGAACTAGCGGATGGATGACCTCTCTCTTTCTCTAGCTCTCTCTCTGCCTCTCTGTAAGTCTGCCTTTCAAATAAATAAATAAATCTAAAAAAAAAAAAAATCACAACTCCAGGGGCTGGCTCTGTTGCATAATGGGTAAAGCCACTGCCTGCGATGCCAGCATCCCATATGGGCACCAGTTTGAGTCTTGGCTTCTCCACTTCCAATCCAGCTTCCTGCTAACGTGCCTGGAAAAGCAGCGGAAAATGTGCTAACCCGAAGCCAGGAGCTTCTTCCAGGTCTCCCATGCAGGTGCAGGGGCCCAAGGACTTGGGCCATCTTCTACTGCTTTCCCAGGCCACAGCAGAGAGCTGGATTGGAAATGGAGCAGCCAGGTCTCGAATCAGTGCCCATATGGGATGCCGACACTGCAGGGGGCAGCTTTACCCACTACGCCACAGCGCTGGCCCTGACTCTCATTCTCATTTGTTGCTGTTAATCAATAAGCCTCACCAGTGCCCGCCCTGCTCGCCAGGCCTCTTTTTCTTCCTTAGCTGGCCCTCCCCCCACCCCCACCCCGGTCTAGCTCCCTCGGCTGTTCCCCAGCCACCCTGGTTTACCATTCCCCCTGGAGCCCCGCTCACCTATCAGAGGCAGCCACGTGGCGCAGGCCACCCACCAGCAGCACCAGTGTCCACACTGGAGAAGCCATGAGGGACCTCAGAGGTGGCTCCCAGGGGCCGGCAGGGACACAGGGAGGGGCCCAGAGCACGTTCACACACCCCTGACCCTGCTTGCCTGGCGTCTTTACGAAGACGCCATGGAAAACGGACAGTCAAAACACGGAGAAGCACGGGGGAAGGAAAACTGAGGGCCAGCGCTTACCAAGCCCAGTGGAAGAGCTGTGGATTGAAATCAGGGGGGAGTAAAAAGGAGAGAAAAGCAAGAGGCTCGGAGGATCAGTTCAGGAAACCTGACATCAAACAAGGAAAATGTCCCAGAACGGAGACACTCAAGCGTCTAGATGGATGGGCTCCTCGAGGGAGGAACGCAGAGCCCTGTGGAAGGCAAGTCCCAAACTGTCAGAGTGCCAAGGGCAAGGGGGAGACCAGAAAGCCCTTGAGACAGAGGAGAGCAGGTCACACAGTCAGGAGCACGAGCCAGCGTGGCGCCCGCCTCACTGTGGCAACCGCGGATTCCAAGGCAGCGCAACATTGTCTGCAGAATTCCGAGGGAAAATCGCTTCAAAGCTAGAATTCTATAACTGGCGATGGTGGCAGAGGCCCCTGGAGCGTGGCACCAGGGAAGCTCTGAGAACCGCTATGGGCCGAGAGTTGAGCACAGCCCAGAGGGAGAAGTGCAGGCAGCTGATGCGTATGGGAGACACTTGGCTTTCCCTGCCTGGGAGGAGGCACTGCTCACAACACCGGCTGCTCCACTTCCCACCCAGCTCCCTGCGGATGAGCCTGGGAAGGCAGCCGAGGATGGCCCAAGTGCCTGAGTCCCTTCACCCACGCAGGGGACCCAGATGGAGTTCCTAGTTCCCAGTTTCAGACTGGCCCAGCCCCAACCTAATGTGGTCAGTGGGGTGTGAACCACTGGGCAGAATCTCTCTCTCTCTCTGTCATTTTGCCTTTCAAGTTAAAAAAATAAAAAGTGTGAAAACCTCTGGTTCTGCCTTGGAGGATAAATCCTGGCTTAAAAGATTTAAAAAAAAATTGTACAACTGCCATGTTGACCAGAAGTTTAAAGATCAATAGTATGGGGTATTGGACAGGAGGCAGGAAAGCAAAGTTACATATGGTGACCACAGGACAGTATCCTGGTGAGAACGTCTTAGAAGACAATTTGACAATGACTATTAAACCTTCGAATGAACCTATCTTTTTAAAACAAGACTTTTTTTTTTTTTTCATTTGAAAGGCAGAGTTACAGAGACAGAGATCTTTTATCCACTGGTTCACTCCCCAGGTGGTAGAGATGGGGCTGGGCCAGGCTGAAGCCAGGAACCAGGAGCTGCTTCCCGGTCTCCCACGTGGGTGCTGGACTGGAAGTGGAGCAGCCAAGGTTCAAACTGGTGCCCGGATGGGACTCCAATGTTGCAGATGGCAGCTTAACCCACTGCACCACAATGCCACCCCCAAAGCGCCCATCTTTGACCCAATATTTCCTTTCTAAGAATCTTCTTGCCAAAATCCATGTACATCTGCAAAAATGCATACATCCCTTAAAGATTTTAACTTTATTAATAGAGAACAGATTTTATGAATTTCGTAGATACGATTCCAAGAATTAAACACTTTCCTTCCTTCTTCCTTCCTTTTTTTTATTTTTTGTTTTTGCAATAATGTGCTTTGTTTACAATCACAGGGTCAAAAGTCCTTTAAACAAAGAGCTGTAGGCCAGCGCCATGGCTCACTAGGCTAATCCTCCGCCTGCGGCGCTGGCACCCCAGGTTCTAGTCCCAGTTGGGGTGCCGGATTCTGTCCTGGTTGCTCCACTTCCAGTCCAGCTCTCTGCTGTGGCCTGGGAAGGCAGTGGAGGATGGCCCAGGTCCTTGGGCCCTGCACCCGCATGGGAGACCAGGAGAAGCACCTGGCTTCTGGCTTCGGATCAGCGTGGTGCGCTGGCCGCAACGGCCACTGGAGGGTGAACCAACGGAAAAGGAAGATCCTTCTCTTTCTCTCTCTCTCTCTCACTGTCCACTCTGCCTGTCCAAGAAAAAAAAAAAAAAGAGCTGTAAAGGTGCCAGTGCTGTGGTGGAGTAGGTTAAGCCTCCACCTGTGGCGCCAGCATCCCGTATCTGGGGAGTGAACCATGGATGGAAGACCTCTCTCTCTCTCTCTCTCTCTCTCTCTCTCTCTCTATCTCTCCCTCTCTCTTACTCTGCCTCTCAAATAAACAAATAAATCTTTAAAAAAATAAAAAAGCATATTTTAAAATAAATACAAAAAAGAGCTCTGAACTAAAAGGCAGGTAAACCCCTGTTCTGCAGGGGCACAGACAAGCGCTACAGACAACAGATTACAGGATGGCAGTTTAGCTCAATATGCATTAAGGGGTTTTTTTGTACTCTATATTAGCTGCAACCGACCAGATAAAACATATACTATTTGTCTTTTTGGCTCTGGCCCTTAAAGATGTTAATTGTGGGGGCCAGCGCTGTGGCTTAGCAGACAAAGGGGCTGTTTACAGTGCTGGCATCCCATACGGGTGCCAGTTCAAGTCCTGGCTGCTCCACTTCCAATCCAGCTCCCTGCTAATGCACTTGGGAAAGCAGTGGAAGACGGTCCAAGTCCTTGGGCCCCTGCTCGGATGTTGGACACTCAGAAGAAGCTCCTGGCTTTGGATCGGCCCAGCTCCAGCCATTGCAGCCATAGTGGATGGAAGACCTCTCTCTCTCTCTCTGCCTCTGCCTCTGTGTAACTCTGCATTTCAAATAAATAAATAAACCTTTTTAAAAGAGAGAGAGAAATTTGTACACCCATGGTGGAAGAAATCCCCAGGTCCATCCACAGATAAACAGATAAGCAATGTCAGGTATCCATACAATGAGATAACACTCAGCCTTAAAAAGGAAGGAAATCCTGACGTGCTACAACGTGGAGGACGCTACACTAAGTAAAGTTGGGCAGGAACAAAGGACTACTACTACTGCTACTGCAGGATTCCACCTAAGGAGGCCGCCGGAGCAGCCCAACGTAGAGACAGGAGACTAGCTGTTGTCAAGGGTGAGGAGGGAGATGTGTTTAACGGAGCTCCTATTCGGGAAGATGAAAAAGTTCTGGAGAGGGTGGTGATGTGAACAGAACCATGTAGTTAACGCGCATTGTACTGTGCACGTAACACCGCTGAACCGCACACTTGGAGATGGTGTAGGCGGGGCAGGCATTTGGCACACAGTAAAGATGCCCCTTGGGAAGCTCACATCCATATCAGAGTCCTGGTTCCACTTAAAACTATTTATTTATTTATTTGAAAATCAGAGTTAGAGAACGAGATCTTCTATCTGCTGGTTCACTCCCCAAGTAGCTGTAACAGCCAGGGTTGAACCAGGCCCAGATCAGGAGCCAGGAGCATCAGCTGGGTCTCCCACATAGGTGGCAGGGGCCCAGGCCCCTAGCCATCCTCCACTGCTTTTCCCAGGCCATTAGCAGCGAGCTGGGTTGGAGGAAGAGCAGCCAGGACATGAACTGGTGCTCATATGGGATGCCAGTGTCTCAGGCTACAGCTTTGCCCACCACTCCTCAGTGCTGGCCCTCTGGCTCCACTTCTGACTTCAGCTTCCTGCTGTGTGCACAAAGGCAGGCAGTGGGTGGTGGCTCAAGCAGCTGGATTTCTGCCATCCATGTGGGAGGCTCAGGCTGAGTTACTGGCTCCTGGCTTCAGGTTGGTCCATGCCCAGCTGTTGTGGGCATTAAGGAAGTAAACTGGAATATTTCTGTCTGCCCTTAGAGTAAGTAAAAATAATTTTTAAGAAATGATTAAGGGGCCAGCACTCTGACGTAGCGAGTAAAGCCGCCACCTACAGTGCCAGCATCCCATAGGGATGCCAGTTTGAGTCCCGGCTGCTCCACTTCTGATGCAGCTCTCTGCTATGGCCTAGGAAAGCATTAGAAGATGACCCAAGTCCTTGGGCCCCTGCACCCGCATGGGAGACCCAGAGGAAGCTCCTGGCTCCTAGCTTCAGATAGGTGCAGCTCTGGTCATTGTCATTTGGGGAGTGAACCAGCGGATGGAAGACCTCTCTCTCTCTCTCTCTCTCTCTCTCTCTCTCTGCCTCTGCCTGTGACTCTGCCTTTCAAATAAATAAATATACCTTAAAAAAAAGAAATTAAGATGGTAAATTCTGTTATGTGTACCACAATTCATAAATAATTATTGAAGTATTACTTGATAACATATTTATTTTTTTAAGATTTATTTATATGAAAGGCAGAGTTAAGGAGAGAGAGAGAGTTCTTCCATCTGCTAGTTCACTCCCCAAATGGCCTGAGCTGGGCCAATCTGAAGCCAGTAGCTTCTTCCAAGTCTCCCATGTGGGTGGCAGAGGCGCACGCACTTGAGCCTAAAGTGTATCTAAAGTGTCAGAGGGACAGAGATACAGATCTTCTACCTGCTGTTCACTCCCCAGTGACGACAATGGCCAGGGGTGGGCCAGGTCAAAGCCTGGAGCCTGGAATTCTATTCGGGTCTCCCACATGGGCGACAGAGACCCAGGCACTTGGGCCTCATTGCTGCTTTCTCAGGCCAATTAGCAGGGAGCTGGAAGGGAAGCAGAGCAGCCAGGACTCTGATATGGGATGCCTACAGATGGTGGCTTCCCCCACTGTGCCACAACACCAGCACCAATACTATTATAATCTATTCAAGACTCAAAAATAATGGAGGCAGGAGTGGTAAATCCATACATTCCAATGCTGGAAGAGGGTCTAGAACTATTGAATTATTTTTTTTAAAGATTTATTTATTTATTTGAAAGTCAGTTACACAGAGAGAGGAGAGGCAGAGAGAGAGAGAGAGAGAGAGAGAGAGAGAGAAAGTCTTCCATCCACTGGTTCACTCCCCAGTTGGCCGCAACAGCAGGAGCTGCGCTGATCTGAAGCCAGGAGCCAGGAGCCAGGAGCTTCTTCCAGGTATCCCACGCGGGTGCAGGGGCCCAAGGACTTGGGCCATCTTCTACTGCTTTCCCAGGCCATAGCAGAGAGCTGGATCGGAAGTGGAGCAGCCACAACTAGAACCGGTGCCCATATGGGATGCCAGCAGTTTAGGCCAGGGCTTTAACCCACTGCACCACAGTGCCGGCCCCTAGAATTATTATTAAAGTGAAACAGGAAGTCATGAGGAAAAAAAAAGATATGGTGCAATACTATTTAGGTAAAATCCCCCAAAAAGGATGCTATTGCAGAACAGGGCCAAGATGCCACACGTGGAGTCACTGACAACTGCTAGACCTGGCAAGGGGGTGGGGATTCCCGTGTGCTGTGCACAAAGAACATGCCACTGCATGACTGCAAAATAGCACTGGGACATTACAGAAGGTCAGAGCCAAGCAAGGGGCCAGACTGGAGGATCTGAGCAGGGAATGGAAGCTGAGAGAAGAGATCCTCTTGGGGGTTGGGAACAGTGTCTTAGAGGTGCTTGGCTGTAAAAAGAGGCGACCTGCACAGCAGGTGCGGAAATGA